GTCATTGGTCCAGCCCATATCTAATATAGGATTTTAACGCAAGAATTGGACGTTCACAGCATTTGGAGTGTGGAATATTGTTGTGCTGTGAATCATCTCACGTGGTTCTCATCCTTGAAAGGCTACCAAGTTAACCCTTTACGAAAAAGGGTTTAACCCAGGGGGTTGTTAGCCCAGGATTCGACGACAGTTTGACCCAAGGGATTGTTGACCCAGGATTTCAACAGTTGTACACAGAGGGTTATATCGTCCGGAGTTCAACGGTTTCATCGAGGGAACACAGAACATTGGTATGCTAGCCGCCTAGCTTACTTGCAGCTAGATTTACGATGATGATTCTCGTTCTGGATAGGAAGATGGGAATGCTGTGAAAGAAGACACCCTACTATCAGGTTTTTCTTATACGTTATATTGAAGGTTTCATGTGTGCATTGTTAAACTATACATTCACTTTCAACCGAATGTTGTCAAGGTATTCTCAACATTATTTATACTTTTGAGCACAGAATGTTCTAGGGTTCTTTCACTCATAACTTAAGTATTATCAAATGTTACATCGTTTAATTGATTAATATTTTAAAGTTTTACTTAATTTAAGCACTTAATGCTGATGTAGTAATCCTTCAGGTCGCAGAACACTTGGACTGCTTCCACGTTTAAGTTGTAATTCTTCAGTTATTAAGGGCTACTGCCATAATTTTACCTTTTTTTAATTTATTCATTATTAAATGGTCCAGACTTAACGATTAAGTTAAGCAATCTCAGAAGACCCGTGTGGGGGCAGAGATTAAGTAACCTCTTCCAATCTGGGAGTTTAATTAAATAACCTCTGTCTAAAGTCCTTTATATGTTGTATTTTTATTATTTTTTTTGATATTTTTATTTAGTTCTATGAATTATACTTAATTATAAAATTTCATGGTTTAATAATTTTCTTTTGGGTAGTTTGGTCTTAACCAAAAGTTAAGCAGATATCGCCTTCCAATTTGGAGAGGGTTATAAGATTATAAAGATTATAAGTTTACTGTTTTTATAATATATGAAGTAGTATAGGTACGGTGATGCACAATATTTAAGTTAACTATTATATTATATTTTTTTTATGTAAGGTGGAAATTAATGTTTTGCGCAAGCGTCATGCCTGGTACCAAGCTAACGACGAACCGTTCCATACTTTGATACATTTATTAATTTTTTTTGGGTTATGCATATACATACACTGTGTAAGTTTTTCCTTTTAATTTCCTCCAACTTTTTTTTTTTTTTATTATCTAAGCCATCAGGTAATTAGTTTGTATATTTAGTAAATATTTTTTTCTTTATAAAGGAACATAAGTTGAGGTTTGTCTTTTATTTCTTTCCTCATTTACTGGGTTTTTGGGGAAATAGGATCATAGTTTGGCCACTATATAGACCCAGTTGGCGCCTATTTATTTGTCTACTATTTCCGGAATTTTTGTAAGCTATCCACCCCCTAGCTGCCGTCTGAGCGACGTCGAAGGCCCGAAGGTTGACACCGGAACAATCGAAACTTGTGTAACCGTAGTAGACAACATTTTTAATTGTAGTTAATACTTTAATAATTTTTTTTTAAGTTTAAAAATTTTGGTGGAATCACCAAGTTCATTTTGTAGGTTACAATTGCAAATTAGCGATGTACACTTAGAAAAAAATTAAAACATGTACATATAACATTTTAATGTATTCTAGGCAAATAAATTAATAAAAATATTGTGTAACTTAAATAAATGAGTTCCGGTGAAAATCTAGATGTGCCAATTTTAAAATTTTATCATTAGATTAAAATAAATTACTTTTGTATGCCATTCATTGTATGAAATGTGTTAAACATTTTTTGGTTTCTTCCTGGAACTAATAAATTAACTCAGCACCTTATTTTTTTTATTTAAAATGAGGTTATGTAGGTATCTTTTTAGAAGTGAAACAACATATAACAATAATATTTATTAAAACACACAATTACAAATTAGTAAGTTTTTAATGAATTTACAATACAAGAATTATTTTATTTCAATTTTTGTTCATACGTACAAATTTTTGACTTCAGATGAGTTTTAGCAAATGCCTGTTGTAAGTCACCCGTTAAGCACAATGCTGCCCAATTGCTTATATTACCTATGTATATAATTAAATACTATTAACGTCACATCATAAAAATTAGATGTTTATATTTAACGATTTTATGGTTTAAAATTTGTATGGGAAAGGTTATCTGCAGCGGGATTTAAATATTTAATGGCTTGAAGAATCAACAGTGACTGTCTAGAAAAATTTGTTGGGTCCATTAGGCAACAGGGTGGGAATTTAATTAATCCAACACCTGAACAATTCGAAAGGGCATTTAAAAAAATTTTTTGTCAAAATTATCTTCATTGCAATTCCATGAATTGTAATGAAGACATGGACAAGCACTTGCTACAATTAGATGTAAAAAATATTGTCTCTCTGTATCCTGAAATAAATAAAAACACTCGAGAAGCTGTTTTTCTTCCTAATTACAGCTACAGGACAGAAGATATAATAGTTCAAAATCCATTTAAATATGTTTGTGGCTATTTGATCTAAAAAGCTTTAGGCATACATGGATGTGATACATTTATTAAATTTTCAAAAGAATGTGAAGATTTAGATAGTTCACAGATTTTAACATATGATTGCAAATAAAGCACTTATGGAGGCCTAAAAACTCCAAATGAAAAGTTTATTATCTATATATTTAAATTATAAAAAAATGTTATATCTATTTTTAGCAATACCTGTGTAATGTCTGGTATATCGCATAGCTTTTTTTGATATTATGAAAGAAATAGAATTTAATCATCCTTGTGCTAATTTCCCTAACGTATATATCATACAACTGTTTATAAGATTATATATATTATTGTTTAAGTGCTTAAATATTGTATAAATGAAACAAATCAAAAATTAAAAAACAGTTAAAATAACACCACAAAATACATTTTTTTGTTTTCTTTTTTCTACTTTACAAGAAATACATATATATTTTGATTAGATGTAGTCAATCAGAACATTTTTAATCAATGGACATAGTGAATCAAAGAACATCTAATTCATTATAATAATTTGGAGGCAGGAATTTTGATTAAGAATGTCCAAAGGTTGTACATGGTACGCTTTCAAAAATGTCTTATTCATGTTCAATGATAGTCTCAACAGAGGAAGCACTTTGTCGATGTACTATGGAGAAGATAGACATTTGGCTGATGACCTAGATGGATAAAAAATGTGGGAACAGCAGTAGGCAATAAACGTTTACGGTTCAACGTTTTAGAAAAACAATTCTTCTCAAAATGTTTCTCACACAACCTGTAATTCCGATGAAGACTGTTCACATCTATGTTACTCAAATCTTCCCTATTACACGCTCTTAACCACATGTTGGCCCTAAAATATAAAAAAGTTGATAACGAAAGTTTAGATTGACGGTAGTTCAGAAATTGTATATTTTTTTACATTATTTTTGTTGAAATTGTAAAAATTGTCCTCAAGACATTTAAATAATAAATATTTGGTTGTCAAATAAATATTTGGTTTTTGAAATATAAAAATTAAAAGTATTTTCTTAAGACATTCCTTTCTGGCTCCATGGAAAATGCAAAATAACTTGTCGCTTTGTCTGTTTACTCTGTTTGAGATGGACAAGGGCGATAGACACATCTCTTTCTTTTCTGATCAGGTGTAGAAGCCATTTCAAAAATATCACACAATAAATGAAAAACTAAAATAATAAAAATGTCTCAAAATATGCACTGCAAACAAACAAAAATAATGACATATTTACATCGCATTGACACTATTGACGTTGACGTTTTTGTCGCTTATTTTCGGACATGCGCAGAAAAATATGGACCCCTCATAAAAAATGATCTGTCGCTACTGTATTGTTCTTTATACTGGGGTTCTACTGACAATTATAGTGACAGTAGATTTTTTGAGTGCGTTTTGTTTGTTTTATTTACCTAAATTAAATCGTGTCTTCACTTTTATAAATATATTCCTAAAGTAAGTAGATAACAGGCATCAAATGTACAATCGTTTAGTTACCAATTGCATACCTTTAAACTATTTTTTATGACCTGTAAATAATATTTAGAAATAGACTAAAAACAGTAAAAACGTATACGTCAAATTTATTGATGCTTTAGTTAAAAGTTTGGTTAGAATTAAATGTCAGTGGAACCAAAATGACATCACACTGAACTAGCGCATACGCCAGTTCGGTGTGATGTAATTTTGGTTTCACTGACATTTAATTCTAACCAAACTTTTAACAAAAACATCAATAAATCTGAAATATATATTTTTTATAGAAAAACGTTAATTTATGGAGTTTCCAGTGGTATATTTAAATAGTACTCTCTTTCTAAAGCCCAAAATGTAAGTTTTGTAAAAAAATTGTATTTTTCTACGATCACTATCCAAAGTAGGATTTTACGCATAGAAATTCAACCGCAACATTGAAGTTTTCCGCGAAATGACATCAAGTGACAGATTTGTCACTCGTCGAGCGACAATATTGACAGCTTTAGTTAGCACTACTACATTTTAATTTTTGTTATTTTGCCTTGAGTGCTAAATTGCTTATCTTGTTATCTGATATAATTGGGTTTTTAATAAAATGTTTTTTTTATTTTTTTTTTCAATGTTTTCCTTGACTTTCTGATATGGTCGCATGAGATTTACTTAAAAAAAAACGGGGAGGGCGCAAAATTAAGGTTTTGCCCAGAGCGGCAAAATGTCCCTGAAGACAGGTAGTTTTGGACAACCATGGGTTGATAGAAGAGTCTATTATCCTGCAATTTGACGTCAGATAAGCTCAGAAGAAAATACCTATAATTTTAAAAAATACTAACGTTACTAATAAAGTACAATGGTTTCAAGAAACCTACTCTAAAAAAATCTGTTAGTTAAATAAAATTAATTATATAATAAATAGAAATGTATTTACTTATTTTTAATATTACTTCATTGCAAATTTGTATTTCTTCATTGGTCAATTTTTCAAGCAATGCTAAAACAAACACTACGTTTCAGGTTTTTAAGTAATGAAACGGCGGCTTACATAACTTACAAAATCTGTCGTATAATTATGACTTCATCTTGGCCTACCTAAACTGATTTTAAGGATGACTTAACTCATAGTAGAGAAAGTTTATTAAATTACTAAGAAGAAATTTCATACAATCAGTATTTCATGAACTGTGTGATACAAAATGGATGTTGAAGAATTTAGAGAGTTCGGCAAAGCCAGTGTCGATTATATTGCGGATTATATTGAAAATATTCGAAAAAAGTAAGTACATTATCTTTGTTTCCTAAAAATATACTAGTAGTTCTCTTTGCCTTTGTTATAAATGAATTATTTTTATTTTTATTAGTTTAAATATGTTTCTACATTTTTACCAAGAGAAAAGTTCATAAATTTAATTGAAGCTTTTAAATTGTTCTATTATAGCTTTTACTCATTAAATATTTTAAAAATATTCCTAGAGGATATGCGAAATATTTTATACATATTACGTCTTTTTTAAGATTTTGAAACATTTTAATTTGGGATTTGAGGCAACATTAAAAACAAAAATCTGATGTGTCCAACACATGACTTTCCTATCTAGTTATTATAGGTTTTTTCCGGTTATTTTGTACAACCTATTGCAGCACCTCTATAAATGTTTAGAGGATAAACTAAATATATACATTTTCCACATACATCTACCTCGAAACATTTTTCTATAGATATTCATTGAAAACGAAAATACTGAAAAATTTAAATTTAGCACTTTTCCTCCAATTTTTCCATTACGGTCCATTTTAGAAAAATCATGTATGAACAAAAATTATAGAGATTGATATCGCAAACAACTTTTAGTTCAACAATTTTCATAAAAATCAGAATTTTGCATATTTTGTCAAATTTATCGAATACGGACTATTTCAGGAAATTTTAACAAAGCAAAAATTATAGATAATAATATTAGAAGTAACTTTTATTTAAACAATTTTTTTCTCCAAACATAATTAACAGATATATTCCATAAAATATAAAAATGGCCTCCCATAAAGTACTACCCCCTCAGATGTTCACACTTTTTCCAAAATCTAATCATTTCACGTTAGACCGAAATAAAACTTAAGTTTAAAATTTAATGTTCTTTCTTTATCCGTTTTTGAGTTTTCTTCAAAATTCGAAATTTACACATTTTCTCAAATATCTCGAATACGGTCTATTTTAGAGAAACTATGTATAAAATAAAAATTATAGAGAATTATATTACAAACAACTTTTATTTGAATAATTTTTATAAAAAATTATTTTTTTTTAGGAAAATTTTATGTATAACAAAAATTATAGATAATAATATAACAAGTAACTTTTATTTGAAAAATTTTCTTTTCCAAACGTAAATAACAAATATATTTCATAAAATATAAAAATGACCACCCATACAGTACCCCCCCGATGTTCCGACTCTGCCCAAAATCTGATAAGTTCATTGGACGTCCGAGTAAATCTTAAGTTTAAAATTTGGTGCTTTTCTGTATATCTGTTCATGAGTTATAGTGGATACAGACACACATACACACACAGATACACACACACACAGACACACACACACACACACACACACACACACACACACAAACACACACACACAGACACACACACACACACACACACACACACACACACACACACACACACACACACACACACACACACACACACACACACACAGACACAGACACACACACACACACACAGACACACACACACACACAGACACACACAGACACACACAGACACACACAGACACACACACACACACACACACACACACACGCACACGCACACGCACACACACACACACACACACACACACGTCGCGAAAATAGTCAAAATGGATTCAGGGGACCTCAAAACGTAAAAATCCGTCGAAAATTCGAGGTCGAAAAAAATCATGATTGCTATACTTTCCTTATATCTGTATACAGATAGAAAAGTAAAAGAAAATGTTTGTCTATTTGCGTTAATAAAAAAATGCAAAAATATTTTAAATATTTCTAAATTTTATTTTTTTTAAAGATTTCCAAGATCTTTGAATAATAATAATAATAATGTAATTTATTCTCAAAAATATAAATACATGTTAATAATAATATAATAAAATAGAATAAATTATTATGCTCGATAAGTGATTTAATACTTGTTTCGAGAATAATTTAGGAAAAATATAATAAATGTAAATAAACAAATACTACTATATAATAATTAAAATTAAATTTCTTAATATATTTTTTCACATGATATGAATTAAAATACATTGCAATTAGCATTTTCATATATGTAATTTTTGTTTATTTTTTAAATATAACAATAACAATACACAATAACTGGCATCACTAACATAAAAATTTAAAAATGATTTAAAAATGTGTAAATAAAATATGTTTTTATGTCAGCCTAATTACAGGATCTCCATTACATGATGGATTAAGTCACGGTGATGTTGAACATAAAAAGTTAAATTTTAGGTAGATAATTGATTTTAAATCGGGTGGTAGTGAATTGTAAATTTTTGGTCCCATATATGAGTAGGCTCGTTGTCCAACTGACTAATGCATATAGGGAATTAACTCGGAATTTTTACTTGAGGTATTGTAGGAGTGGATCAGCTGCATACATTTTTTGTTAGAATGATAATATATGTTTATCTTTAAGTAAAAAAGTTGTCGGATATCTAGAATTTTTGATTCGGTATATAGCATAATTGTAGGATATGTGATATCTTTACTGAATATCAGTTTTAGGAACCTTCGTTGGATGGTATACATATAAGTTTTTAAATCATTACCCCATACTAAAAGGTCATACCTCAAGTGACTATTCACCAAAGCAGAGTAAAGTAGTTTAAGTTGATTAATATTAAGTATTGATTTTAAATATTTAAAGGGCTCTCTCGAACAATTTTCTCTTTGCTCATTTGAAATTTTCAATTGCTTATCGTAACTTAAAATTTTAACATATTAGATTTCTAGATAGTCAAAAAGTTAACTATAACACACCTATTCTATATATATTGGGGTCTATTCTGTAAAAATTCCTTTATATTTAACGGCCTTTAAAAATATTTTCTTCTTTAATTCGGTCACTATTTAAACGGATCTTTAAAATACATTAGAGGACTATCTAAAAGAAATCTGTTTAAATAAGGACAGAAGTAAATTAACGAATACAAACATATTTTTAAAGGTCGCCAATATTTTTGTTACAGAATAGACCCCATTAAATGGTAACAAATGATACTTGTGTTGTATTTTTCATTTCATTTATTTAAAATTTATACAATCATTTCTTATATTTAATCCATTCTGCTTTTCTGAGGTTACTTTTGAAGATAAGTTAAAAATGTTTAAGCTTTTTTTGGAAAAACTGTCAAAGAAAAGGTAATACACACGAACGTATTATATACAGTGAGGAAGAAAATTGTGCCCTCCTCTATTTTAACTTCTAAATAAAAAAGGATAATAACAAAACAAAAAGGTAAAACTCAAGAGATATTATATTTTTGTTATAACGAGATGTACTTTACTTGAAACACGTAAGATAGAGGGAGTTACTAGCTTTAAATTTTCTAATGAAAAGTAGGGTCATGTGATACCTCATTTGAAAGATATTTTCTATATTTTTACGTTTATGTAAACAGATTTAGGTTTTTATACCTTTACAGAAATTGCATTAAATAAATTCATAAAGTGGATTAAATTCTTTTTTTTTTTTTTTATTCACCGCTTCAACCTCAAAGGATCATTACCAGAGGTATAATACCCTATATGATGTTTTGTACTATAGTATACAATGGATAATTAACGTTTTGGTTAGTATAGAGTAAATGTCAGTATCTTTTATAAATTTAAGTAATTTTTTATTGTTAGAGGGATTTAACACTGAATAAATAGCAATTTTTTGTAGCTGGTATTTTGTTCTTATACAGACATGTTCTGGGCCTTTACTAATAAGTTATATTCTTGATAACTCCCGTATTAACAATTATTGTTTATTACTAAGGAAAGGCTTCTTGTATTTACTAAAATAAATAAATTAAGAATATCAGAGGTGATTTAAAAACCAATTGACGTATTAAATTTTTCTTCTTAGCAAAAAAAGCTTATTAAAAAATTATCTTCTAACATTTCTAGGATAATTGCAGCACACGAGGATTATCAAGAATGTAATTTTTGTAAAATAAAATAAAAAAAAATTAAAATTGTTTGCTTGGACGTAAATAAAATCAAAATATCTTTCAAATGAGGTATTACATGACTTTACTTTTCATTAGAAAATTTAAAAATAGTAACGCCCTCTATTTTACGTCTCAAGTAAAGTGTATCCTATTATAACAAAAATATCATAATGTTTCTCTAATTTCACATCGTTTTTGTTTTGTATCTCTATCTTCTTGCATATTGAAAACATACTACAAAATGCTTTCATTTGACATCGCAGGATTGCATTAGAAAAATTCTAACTTCCAATTTAACCTCTTCCCCCTTCCCCAACTGACTTACAAGATAAAGTATTTTCGTTTTTAGTTAACGCGTGATCTGGGCCACTTATTATTTCAAATGTCAATTGTAAAACGACTGTGACAGACGGACAGACAGAGAGACAAGTGTTTCTTATTGCCAAATTTGGGTACTAATGCGCAAATTACTTGAAAAATTCTCTCGTCTCGCGGCATCACTATTCACAATAATTAACCCCACAAATAAATTATTTATGGGATAAAATAAATACAGAAAAAAAGTCTGTGGTTTCATAGTTGACAAGCTCTAGTCAAATTAGTACCTGTACCACAGTGCATAAAAACAGTGATATTTAAAGCACTAAAGTTAAATTAAAAAGAAAAGAAAGAAGTAAAGTCAAAATTGAAAGTCTATCGGGTTATTGTATCGGCACACATACACACATACATACATACGCACGCACATACGACCAGACAATTTTCAAGCGTTTTCGTAATTATAGTGTTCGAAAATAAGGCAAATTTTAAGGCAATTTTGAGGCAATATTGAGGCAATTTTGAGAAAATTTTGAGACAATTTTGAGATAATTTTGAGATAATTTTGAGACAATTTTGAGACAATTTTGAGACAATTTTGAGACAATTTTGAGACAATTTTGAGACAATTTTGAGACAATTTTGAGACAATTTTGAGACAATTTTGAGACAATTTTGAGACAATTTTGAGACAATTTTGAGACAATTTTGAGACAATTTTGAGACAATTTTGAGACAATTTTGAGACAGTTTTGAGATAATTTAGAGACAATTTTGAGACAATTCTGAGACAATATTGAGGCAATGTTGAGGTTTCAGTAAAAATTAGGAGTATATTTTTTATTAAAAATAATTATGTAGAAGTATGTTCTTAGCTATATTTAAATAAGCAATAGGTGCACAATTGGAATATTTTTTTCTAATATAAATTTATACTGTTTAATATAAATACCCTTCTCCATATCATTTTAGATGCATATTTCTAGATCAAAACAATCACACTCTTTTGAAATGTCAGCCATTTTATGATATATTTATTATTTGATCTTATTTTATCCTATTTTTTATTTCATACCAAAATATTATTTTTAATGATTATTATGTCTCGAATTAACTTAATTTCACAATGCAGAATTACGATATATCTAGTTGCAAAAATCAGTTTTGATTTGTTAATAATTTATTGTTATTATCATTGGTATTATATAATTAAGCGTGAGAAATATGTCTTATTAAGTTATAATTCTATTTAAATTCCTCTTAATTTTATGAAAATTAAGCAATGGTATTTGTATTCGTAAATTACGGTAATTTGATAATTCTGAGAAAAATATTAAATAATTAAATAATATTCTTACAATGGTGTATTACGTGACTAATTAATTGGGGAATTGATTAAATTAAAACCTGACAGAAACTGAATCTAACAATACATTAGAAGCAAACCAAATACCTTGAAAAGTTATAATTCCTTCTGAGCCTTTCTTTTTGTTTCGATTTTTGTAAAATTTTCAGGAAATACCAATAATAATAAAACTTAGTGTGAAGAAACTTGGAATTTTTTATAAACCTTCAAAAAGTATTTATTTTAAAACTTTTTAAAAGGAATTTAAAAAAAAACAGCTATCGATCAATTACGCACCGATTGAACACCCTGTATATGTGTTATTTGCTAACATATTGGTATCGTTGTATAGTCAAATATATAAGGAATTTTATTTTTAAATAATATGCAGGAGGGTCTGTCGAGGAGTCCTGAGATGCCAATTTTCCAAAAAAAAAATTTAAACACTAAAAAGTAACTAGTTTCTATGTAAATTTTCCTAAAAAAAATTCTGTAAAAAACAGTTTTTTTGGAGAAAAATTTAATAAGAAACCTCAATTTTACAGATTGTAATCACAAAACATTTACTCTAGTTGACAGCCGGTATTAAAAATTACACTGTTGCCACGTTGTTAATAAAATTGTCAGTTTTTGTGTAAAAATTTACTTTTTTATTTAGAAATAAAGACCATTAAATAGTCTTTAATTGGCTCTTTATTCCATGACTTTTCTGGGATTTTTTCTATCAACCTCGAGTGTCTATGACAATGACGTTATTTGGCTTATTATTTGAAATCAGAACATTCTTAAACCAATCTTCAAATAAATGTACAAATATATTTTTTGAACCACTATAAAGACTTAACATTTATATTTTTCCAGACCTGTTTTGCCTTCGGTGGAACCAGGATACCTAAAAAACGAGATTCCCGAACTAGCACCAATCACTGGAGAACCATGGCAAAATATCCTACCAGACGTCGATCGAGTAATCCTTCCAGGATTAACTCATTGGCACTCACCGCATTTTCATGCTTACTTTCCAACAGCCAATTCTTTTCCAGGAGTTGTGGGTGAACTATTTTCTTCTGGATTGGGATGTATTTCGACTGACTGGGTAAGAGCAAAAGTGAGAAACTTAAATATTATTATGTTTGAAGAAAAATAAAACCAGTAACTTGATTTGTTTGTCTAATACTTTAAAGGGAACTTTAAATCTACAAAACAATTATTATTTTTAAATCTTATCATTCATTTTTTTATTACTAGTCCATACTCGTCTGCAGATTTTTTTTTGTGTAGTATGAAATTTCACTTTTCTTAAATTTTGTCCCATTTATTTCGTGTTCAGCTTGTGATATCATCCTTAGAAATATGTTACTCGATTTTGGTGTAAGAATGTCATATTTTCGCTCAAAAAATCGTTGAAGAATGTATGTCAGTTTTTGTAACATTTCAGTTCACTCATTCGTGCGGGAATATGTGGCCTTCTGCAATGATAATATATTATCCCAAATAAAGTGGCGTAGGATTTGTTTGAGTTAATTTTTAATAGGTGTATCTCTAATAATGACTCCATTGTTGACAAGTCATTATTGACTTGTATTTTTGTCAAGTTGATGTCAGATAAAGCAATACAATTATTATTGTGTATCATTTGTGTAGAGATCATATTACAGTGAGATAGATAAGTACGGCAATCGTAAATGTACATGGTGTATAGCAGGGGGGTCTAAAATATTTCTCTGTCTCACCCTGACCCTGCCATTTGAAAATGTACCAAAACATCATTTTAGATTGCTGTCCTTTTGTTCCCTTCCTAAAAGAAATGAGATCATTAATTTAATGACGGTAGTACTAATACCTTAAATTATGTAACCTAGTATTTGATGATTCAAATTGTCAAAGATACGAGAGTAGTCAAGAAAAATTAAATCGCAAACTTTTTTATTAATGAGAGAAGAAATAGTATCATCTGTAACTGCAGGTAATGCTGTAGAACAGCTATAATCGCTTCTTAAGCCTGATTTATTATTCTAGTAGTATCAAGATGACTTTTTATTTGGAGTTTTAATATTTTCTCTAGTACTCTAGAGGTTTTGGCGATGGTACTACATTAACCTTTTTCTAAATATTAAGAAAGTAACAATAGTATCTGCATTAATTAAAAATATGGACTATATGCTTTAGTTTTTATAGTTTTAATAATATTTAGATCCTCATCATCGCTGGTATTAGTAAAATTAATTTTGTTTTTAGGTAATAGCATTAACATTATCGTAATATTACCGTAATAGACCATTATCCGGTATTTTGAGGGCTCTAGCTTCATTTATTATTAAATTAATTTCCCTTTCTGAGAACATTTCATTTCACTTTTTTTAAAGCTATTATGTGTTACATCATAGTATGCATTATGTTACTAGTTACATAAATAGCTAGGGGAGAGTCTTCCACAGTGAAACACTTTTTTCATTTTTTTTTCTCGAATCTACATACAAAACCAGAATCCAACTTTTATCAAAAATTTTAATTAACACTACATGTACCTTTATAATAAAATATCAAAATTAGATGCAAATGTGGTTTGTTTTTTTGTAGAACAATTTAAAAAAAAAAACTGTTTTGTTTCACTGTGGAACACTAGTGAGGTACAATGAAAACACTGCAAATTAAAGTAAACTATTAACTCAATAGTAACTAGGTGTAACTGTTAAATTGATGTTTCATTAGCGAACTTCAATATTGGTGAAGCTAAGTTCAAATGAAATCAGATCCACTTGTCTTTTTGTTTTGCCATGCTGATTAGGCTTTGGTAAGATCATTTTGATATCGCTTTCAGGAACTACTGCAATGTCAGGAACTTTCGGTAAAACAAACTTGACGTTTATTTTTGAGTGCTTTCTATAAAATTGGACTTCAAAGTCTTGTTTTTATCGCAGATGCCTTACAAGACTATCGCAACGTAATAAACAGTTTTTTATTTTTTCTGTTATTTTAAATTGCACCAATACAAAATCTCCAGCTTCTGGGGGGCACACAAGATCTTCAAATCCATTTAGATTTACTTCAGGGATCCAGTTCTCTGTTTCTGAGCCAAGAGATTCATTTTCTTCTTCGTCCTCTGAGGATTCGACAAGTTTGCGCTTAGCATTTTCGACAGCTGTAACTGTAGGCTTTTTTGTATTTCTTTCCTTTTCCTCTATCATCAATTTTTCCGGAGTATCGGTCGCAATCATGCTTTTTCCCTTCCTTCTAGATATTTTACCCTTTCGTGCGGAAGCCTTAGGATAACTTCTGAATTGTTCAAGAGAAACAAATCTTACTTCTTTTTCTGTAGTAAGCACTGGATTTTCTGTAGCTTCATTACTTTCATTTACTTCACACTTATATCCTTGAGAAGTGGAAGCTTCGTTTTCATCTGCAGTGGGTCGATCTGTGACAGCTGAACTCAAAAAATCACTCTCATTAAACACATTTTTATCTAGCGGAAAGATTCCACTTCTTTTGAAACCTGATCTTATATTATTTGGCGTCATTGAACGATCAAAAGCGATTCCAACGCACTCTACAATTTGTTAGATGGTCATGGGTGTTCCTGGATGATGCAAAAGCCAACTATCTATCGCGGCATTATAATGATCTTTAAAGGATGAAAAAACACTTAAATCTAGAGGTTGTAGCCTATGACTACAATGGGGCGGTAAAGTTAGAATTGTAATTCCGTTTTCTCGAGCTTTGTCCAAAGTAGCTAGTGAAATATGACTTTTATGGTTGTCCATGATTAAGAGCGTCGGTTTTTCTTTACTGGATAACGTAAATTTAATAAAGTGATCCAGAACTTGTAGAAATATCTCGGAACACATCCATCCTGAAGTGGTAGCTACCCCAAGCGTACCATGAGGAGCTCCATTAATCATGTGTGTTTTATAATTTTTCCGCGGGAAAATCATGACTGGAGGCACTGCGGTACCAAGGGCGTTAATAATACAGCATGTAGTTACGTTTTGTCCTCTTTCCCCGCTTATACATTTATTTACTTGCTTGATTCCTTTTCCAGCAATTATTTTTTTCGGATTCTGGACTGTGGTCGTTGAGGTTTCGTCTAAATTGTAAACCCTTGAACCATCAAAAAAATGTTCACTACGCGAATAAACAGTTTTCAACTTGTTGAAAAATGACTGTACATTGTGTGGATTGAATGATGTCATTCGTGATAGACTGCAGCACTCAGGTGAACGAATACTGATACTAGGATGGCGCTTTCTCAAGCCTCTGAATCATTCCAAACCTGCCTCTTTATTTTTTACCCAATTTTCAGGAATCTGTATTTTATTTTGTATTGACATATCGTAAGCTAATTTTCTGCATTCTGTTACCGTCCAACCGAAACCCATTTTTGATAGATTTAAAACATAATGAACCAACTCCTTTTCTTGATCTATATCAAAGCCTTGTCTACAATTGTAGTTAGGAGTAAGTCAAATTTTTCAAGGGGATTTTCTCTTTGTCTTTTGGCATAGCGAAAGAGGGTAACATAAGCAATTTCGGTCATCTCAGACACCTTTCTTAAATTTAAACCTCCATTAACTAGATTTATAGCATTCTGCATTGTATCTGCAGATGTTAGACCCATTGCAGTCTTCCGTATTCTATTTCTGGCCCTAAAAAAAATAAAATAAATAAAACCAAAAGAAAACACGGGGCAGACTGAAACATCGATGGTCCACAGTGAAACACGTTTGTTTCACTGTAGACCATATACATCCTCAAAAAAAAAACAAACTTTATAACAAAACAAAAAATATTTTCATTGCTACTTACATTGTCTAAGAATACAACTTTCTCTTTCCCCAAAAATAACTAAAAAATTATCAAAACTAAACCGGTAATCGTTTCTTAAAATTTGAGCATGGCGTTACTTTGGATCCTCTCTCTAAACTGAAATGCTACCCTAAACAAACCGCGTCCTGTGCGATGATGCATTTTGTAGTGGGAGTTACAATACTGGTCGAACTATTATCTACGTCATGGCGGTGGCTATACGTCCATCGTGTTTTTTTTAGTCGGAATGTTTCACTGTGGACCATGTTTCACTGTGGAACAGTCTCCCCTACTATAACCCAGGGATAACATTTTCTTTTATTTAGTTCGTCTTGATTGCTGATCTATAATTTTTTATTTTAGCAATCAAATCCAGCTTGCGTCGAATTGGAGGTGAGAATGATGGACTGGTTGGCCAAAATGCTTGGGCTTCCAGAACATTTTTTGAACGAATCCGAAGGACCTGGTGGAGGTGTAATTCAGGTAAGAAGATACGCAAATTAAAAAATTTAAAAATAAATAAATAACGTACATTTTAGAATGCAGCCAGTGAATCTACTCTCGTTGGTTTATTATCAGGGAAGCAAAAAACAGTCAAACAGGTTCTTGAAATGAATCCTCATTTAACAGATGCAGAAGTTAAAGCAAAGTTAGTGACTTATACGTCTAAAGAATCTAATTCTTCAGTGGAGAAAGCAAGTTTGTTAGCTTCAGTACCGATGCGGCTTTTACCAACAGATGCAGATTGTCGTCTTAGAGGTAACGTATGTAGAGCGGTCGTTTTTACAGTAGAAACTAATTTTTTTGGTAATTTAATGCATCAGTTACACAACTTAGTACTTATACAGGGTGTCCCGAAATTAGACGACCATATTTTAACAGCGTAATCTACATCCTAAAATAGGAGTAAAAGTTCATATAAACATAGGTTCGAAAATGTTTCTTTTCCGAGATACAGGGTGTTAAAAGTGAAGTCCTGATGACACACTTTTGTAAATATTTTCTAAACATTTAAAGATAACTAAGTGAAATTTGGTAAAAATGCTTACCTTTTTACACTCTATGTAATGGACTAAACCCCAGTTTTTGATCATATTCATAGGTGGGTAAATTATAGGGGGCTTAGGGTAAAATTGCCCTAAGTTTTTTTGTTGACACTTTTTAACATTTATGACTATAAAATTTGGAAAACCAATGTTTTCTTTATAATAAAGCTACTTGTGTTGCATCTCGCTAGGACGCACCAGTTTCAAGAGAAAAGCATTTGAAAATTTCATATAAGTTCATATTATTTTATTCGAAAGTGCAAACAATAATTAGCAGGCCTGTGGAATCAGATTTTTTTTTAAAACCGGTGACTAAAGAAATTATTTAACTAATTATTTTTTAAATGTTTATTTTATAAAAAAACTTTAAATGATAAAACTAAATAGTATTTAAAATTAAACTAATCAATTGTTTTTTATAATGGTTTGGTTGGCTTTGGCCCAATAAAACGATTAATGAGAATTTATTTCTTTAACTGCCGACGTTTAAACTCTTTTAGGGTAATCCTTAGGATGGTAAAAATAAGTCAGATACGTTAAATATCGTAAAATTATAGAGAAACTGTATTTGAAATTAAGAATAGCTGATAATCTTTTGAAAATACAGTTTGACTGAGTTAGAGAAGAAATCATTAGTTACCTACTTTTAATTATTGCAAATGCTATTTGATAATAATTTTAAGCGTTTTAACATGAAGTATTTACTTTTATTGTCCTAAGGATGACTTAAAATAGGTCAAAATGACGACGATAAACAAATGATTCTCAAAAATTGTTTTTGTCTATACTACTAAAAATTCTACTAAAAATAAAAATTCTACTAAAAATAACAAAAATTCTACTAAATAAAAAATTCTACTAAAAATAACAAAAATTCTACTAAAAATATCAATTTATACAACAGTTAAAGTAAGTGTTCAAAAACGTTGTCTTGCTGACGAAGACACATTTCGGCTCTACGGGTAATTGCATGTGAAGCTCGCATTACTTCAAAATCATTTTGCCGTATTTCATTCCCTGCCAAACGTATCCTTTCACGCAACTTTTCCTCACTGTCATCTTCTGTAGCCGTATACCATATCTTTTATACGACCCCAAAAATAATAATCTAATGGGTTTAAATCCGGAGATCGAGGTGGCCCGTTATGGGACCACCTCTTCCTATCCATCTACCCGGAAATCTTTCATTTAGCCAATTTCTCACAATAACGCCATAATGGACTGGCGCTCCATCATGCTGAAAGTGCAGCTGATGCCGAATATTTAATGGGAGATTATCCAGAATGGGTTCAAGGTGGGTTTGTAAAAAATTCAGACACTCAATTGCATTTAACCGAGCAGGAATTTCAATCGGCCCTATTAATCTGTCATTGATTATTGCCGCCCAAACATTGATAGAAAATCTATCTTAAAAAAATCGACGTCGCACCACCCAAGGATTTTCTTGTGAATAAAAATGATGATTGTGAATATTAAAAACACCATCTCTATTGAATGTAGCCTCGTCGCTCCACATAATAAAAAAAAGGAGTTCCTGATGGTTTCTTATCCATTCACTAAACTCCATTCGTGGTAAAAAGTCGTAGGGTCTTAAGGCTTGAACACGCTGATAATGATAGGGATGAATACCATGCATTCTTAACATTCTTCCAACCTAAATGAACATATTTTTTAAAAGACACGTAAACTAAAGTAAGAATTTAAAAAAGCCTTTATTATGAAACTTGTTCGTGTTATTTTACTTGTAAATTTGAGCAATAAAAACTAAAGAATCATAAAATAGTATAAAGAAGCAAAAAAGTACAAATAATTGTCTCAAAAAATTGAAAAGCAGCTATTGGATTCCAGGCATACTAATTTTTGTTTGCACTTTCGAATAAGATAATAATATGAACTTATCATGCAAATGTTCAAATGCTTTTTCCTTGAAAATGGTGCGTCCTAGCGAGATGCACCAAGAGTAGCTTTAGTGTAAAGAATACTTTGAGTATCTAAATTTTTTAGTCAAAAATCTTAAAAACTGACAACAAAAAAAACTTAGGGCAATTTTACCTTAAGCCCCCCTAATTTACCCATCTATGAAGATGATCAAAAACTAAGATTTAGTCCATTACATAGAAGCATTTGTACCAAATTTCACTTAGTTATCTCTAAGCGTTTAGAAAATATTTACAAAAATGTGTCATCAGGACTTCACTTTTAACACCCTGTATCTCGGAAAAGAAACGTTTTCGGACCTTTGTTTATATGAACTTTTACTCCTATTTTAGGATGTAGATTACGCTGTTAAAATATGACCGTCTTATTTCGAGACACCCTGTATTATATGTTATAAAAAAATAATAAATTACATAAATAAAAAATAATACTAATGTATAATAATACATCTCCTAACAAAAATAGTATTTTATCAAAAAAAAAATCCAATAAAAAATAAAATGGAAGCAAAACAAAACAATTTATTAAAATTTTTTGCCCCCGCTACTGTTTCCAACTTGGTTCCTAATCATCCTCAAAATTTTATAATAAACATTAATGACTTTATTAGCAAACCCTTTTATATACACAGCATAGAGTCCACATTAATCGCAAAAAGGCACTTAAGAAGGATATGATCAGTTATAATTGTCTAAACTTTTTTTTATCATAAATGCCAAAGTGAACCTTTTCGAATTTCGAAGAAGAATGGGAACAATTGAAGCAGATTCTTGTCTTGTGACTCTCCACATTTCTAATAGAGTTATCTTCTTTTCTTTGAAAATGTCCCAACTACCTCCTAATGAACATTTTCTTAAATGTCCACTAATACAAGCATGTAACCTTATTTATGAAGGCTAGTCTAACTCTGTAGAATCTATCTTTTGTTTCATGCTACACAACTATTGTAGAGGAATCTTCGAGTTTTCAATAAAATAATTGATTCGATAATTAAGATTTTATTTTAATATAGTTACACAACCGATCTGACTGGCTTAAAAATTAAAGTTCGATTGCCCTGAAATGGATACGAAATAACAATGAAAAATTTTTACTTGATTTCTGCCCGGCCCTCGAAGTCGGGTCGAATGTATATTTCTAGGAAGTCAAACATGGACAGGGGTGTTTACAAAATAGTTTCTTGAACAACTATCAAATAGAATTATCTCTTATAACCACATTTTTCTTATTATATTCGTTAATCTTCATTCAGTCCCCCATACTTTTAAATAATAACCCAAATACCTAAACTATCGCATGTTGCAGACGATTGACTTAACATTTCAATTACCAACTGTAATAGTCTCAAACTACTAGGTACACTCTAAGTAGATTTTCTATTTTATCTATAATATTTTTAATTTCAGCTGATCTACTTCAAGAAGCCATCGATAAAGACAAAGCAGAAGGTTTGATACCTTGCTGCGTGGTAGCTAGTTTAGGTACTACGGGTACATGTGGGTTTGATGATTTAGAAGATATTGGAAGAATTTGTGAAAAAGAAAAAATTTGGTTACACGTCGATGCTGCATATGCTGGAGCTGCATTGGTTTGCCCTGAATATAGGTATCTATTAAAAGGTAATTTAGTACAATGTGATTTATAATTACGTAATTAATATTTTTTAAACTTTTAGGTATTCATTTTGTAGACTCTTTCAACTTCAACCCCCACAAGTGGTTCCTTACTAATTCAGACTGCTCAGCAATGTGGTTTAAGAATACGAAAGATGCAGAAGCAGCTTTCAAAGTGAAGGCTTCGATTCCAACTGAACCTCTATTTGAACCTGAAATTGAGAACTGGCAAATTCCGACGTCTCGCAAATTCAGAGCTTTAAAACTATGGTTTGTAATGAGATTATACGGTGTTCAAGGAATCCAAAAATACATTCGACACCAAGTTTCTTTAGCTAAATATTTAGAGAAATTAGTCAAAGCTGATGACAGATTTGAACTTCTTGTTTCAAGGTTAGGTGTTGTTGGATTTAGACTCAAAGGAAATGACTACATGACTCAAAAACTGTTGGATAAAATTACTGAAAGAAAGAATCTTTACATAATGCCCTATTATTTCCAAAATAAACTGATGGTTCGCTTCGTGGTGTGCAGTAGATTAACTGAAAAAGAGGATATCGATTTTGCTTGGAACGAAATCAAGTCGATAGTAGCTGATACGTACTTTAGGGATTCAAATCCAGAGTTGAAAAATAAGAAAAGGGAAAGTAATTTAAATTCAACAATATTGTCAAAAGTAGCTACTAGTACGTTTTCTCCAGAATTGAACGAAAAACTTAAAGTTGGATTGTTCCTGTAGAAAAATCTTCGGTAACCAAAATAATAATGTAAATAGAATTAATTATGTAGATTATAGTTTGTAATATATATAAATATAAACATTTTTGTTCTAATAGTTTCTATTAACAAATATATTAAAATCAAAATTGATTCTATAGAACTGATAAGAAAAATTTTAATAAATAATTTGAAAGGCGCTAAATTAGTAGTTCCCACCTTCGAAACTGACGCATTCAAGGGCAAACTCGTAGCATAATATAAACGAGTAATAATTTGATTTTGAACGAAAACCGAAAGGCGATGAAAAATATTGGGACGTTGAATTTTCATTTTTGTGAAGCATGACTATTACTTAGGTTAAATGGCTGTAGGGCTCATTAAATCACGTACAATATTTTTAATTTTATTCCTTGGACATTCTGTATATAACAAAATTATCGTTTAATTTAAATAAAAATGTCATGTTGACAAAAGTAGTAATGCGCTAGTTCAGTGTGATGTCATTTTGGTTCCACCACATACTTTATTTTTTCTTTTACTATACGGACAATGGTCGCACTGCGCAGCTTTCTGAGTTCCTTTTAAAAGGAGATAGAAAACTGCGCCATTTTGATCTCTTATTACGTGTTGCCTACATCTTGGCGCAATATTTTTAATAGGTGCGTTTTAATCATCCGCTTCTGCTTCGGAATTGTCGGTTTTCTTGTTTTAATCTGATAGGTTAAAACGACTAAACCGACAATTCCGGAAGCAGAAGCGGATGACTAAAACGCACCTGCTGCTTTGCTTGCTGCTGTCAGTGTCAGTGAATATTATTTTTGGAGTCACAGTTTATTGCTAAAGAATCAGTTAGCTCACTCGGACCAGTTGAAAGTTCCAAAATAACATCCACTCTAGGGATACAAATTAAGGATACGCAGAAAACTGCTGTTTTATTATAGGCGGTTGTCATATATTGTATTATCCGAGTCACGCAGGGTATAAACTGTAACATTGAGATCAAAAGTGCCGACGTAGAGTGAGCGATCTGATTCTTTAGCTATAAACTGTGGCATAGGAATCAAAATGGCCACGCCCTATGTTGGGCGTGTCGGACCTCTCTCTTGCACCGTATAGTAATCAAAGTATGTGGGTTCTACTGACATTTAATTCTAACCAAACTTTTAACAAAAACATCAATAAATTTGACATATACGTTTTTACTGTTTTTATTTCATTTCAAAATATTGTTTACAGGTCATAAAAAATAGTTTAAAGGTATGTAATTGGTAACTAAACGATTGTATATTTGATACATGCTATCTACTTACTTTAGGAATATATTTATAAAAGTGAAAAAAACAATATAATTTAGGTAAACAAAACGAACAAAACGCACTCAAAAAATTTACTGTCACTTTAATTATTGTCAGTGGAACCCACATACTTTGATTTTCTTTTACTATACGGAGAATGGTCGCACTGCGCAGCTTTCTGAGTGCCTTTTAAAAGGAGATAGAAAACTCCGCCATTTTGAACCCTTATTACGTGTTGCCTACATCTTGGCGCAATATTTTTAATAGGTGCGTTTTAATCATCCGCTTCTGCTTCGGAATTGTCGGTTTTCTTGTTTTAATCTGACAGGTTAAAACGACTAAACCGACAATTCCGGAAGCAGAAGCGGATGATTAAAACGCACCTAATATTTTGCTTGCTGCTGTCAGTGTCAGTCACATACTTTGATTACTATACGAAGCAAGAGAGAGGTCCGACATGCCCAACATAGGGCGCGGCCATTTTGAACCCTGTGACACAGTTTACAGCCAAAGAATCAGATCGCTCACTCTGCGTCGGCACTTTGGATCTCAATGTTTCAGTTTATACACTGTGCAACTCGGATAATACAATATATGACAACCGCCTATAATAAAACAGCAGTCTTCTGCGTATCCTGAATTTGTATCCCTGGAGTGGATGTTATTTTGGAACTTTCAACTGGTCCGAGTGAGCTAACTGATTCTTTAGCAATAAACTGTGACTTCAAAAATAATATTCACTGACACTGGCAGCAGCAAGCAAAATATCAGGTGCGTTTTAATCATCCGCTTCTGCTTCCGGAATTGTCGGTTCAGTCGTTTTAACCTGTCAGATTAAAACAAGAAAACTGACAGTTCCGAAGCAGAAGCGGATGATTAAAACGCACCTATTAAAAATATTGCGCCAATATGTAGGCAACACGTAATAAGGGTTCAAAATGGCGGAGTTTTCTATCTCCTTTTAAAAGGCACTCAGAAAGCTGCGCAGTGCGACCATTCTCCGTATAGTAAAAGAAAATCAAAGTATGTGGTGTCAGTGAATATTATTTTTGAAGTCACAGTTTATTGCTAAAGAATCAGTTAGCTCACTCGGACCAGTTGAAAGTTCCAAAATAACATCCACTCCAGGGATACAAATTCAGAACACGCAGAAGACTGCTGTTTTATTATAGGCGGTTATCATATATTGTAGTATCCGAGTTGCACAGTGTATAAGCTGAAACATTGAGATCCAAAGTGCCGACGCAGAGTGAGCGATCTGATTCTTTAGCTGTAAACTGTGTCACAGGGTTCAAAATGGCCGCGCCCTATCTTGGGCGTGTCGGACCTCTCTCCTGCCTCGTATAGTAATCAAAGTATGTGGTCTCGATGTTAAACATTATTTGCTATTCATTATTTAATTTTATCTAAATAAAAGGAAAATTAGGTATGACAAAATTTGAAAAGGTTTGTTAAATGGTGAAATTTGGTAAGAATAGTTTTGTGGTAATTTTGTATTCGACAACTACAATTTCATCATCCTGGTGAATAGTTTCTTCAGCAATAGGTTCTAGTACTTTCTTCCTTTTTTTATTCTAACAAATTCAGTTCGGTTCAATGGTGGTTTCGTCTTGTCCTAATACTGGACAAGTATGAAGAAAGATTCGTGAATATACATGGTATTGCTTCGTTATTTAATCTCGGCCTTTCCCTTTTTATTTTGTTGACAGTACCATTAGTTAAAATAGTCTCATCAAATTTTAAAATATCATCTTTTAAAAAGTGTAGCTCGCAAACAGAATCATAACTAGACAGTACTTTATCAGCCCTAGGAATCACATGCTGCCATTGTTCTAAACGTTTAGGATCCTATCAATATATTTGCAATGAATAAATTGGAGTTCAATAAAGAAAAATAACAGTAGTAACTCTTCATCTAATATCAAAAAACATAAAAAAAGCAAATTTTCTTTTCTAGTAAGTTAAATTTAATGTGTAATTATTGTTGTTTGTAAGTCAGGATTTATGACTTTATTATTTTTTATTATAGAATTTTGTAATTAAATAAACTGTCACTCCGTAAGATACGGGTTGTGACTATTTTACAATAAACATATATTATTTAGAAATAAATACATTATTTTACTTACACTAGGAGCTTTAAAAAGACTTGGATTTTTATCTCCTTGTGTTTTCTTTAATTTTATATCGGATTTATATCCCGTTTTTCAACCCGCAACGAAGCAAATCCTGCTTTGCCGTTTTTTGTTACTCATTGTTACCTGTAGTCAGGTTCTTTATTTCTAAATTTTACAAAAATCACTTTAATTCCCATTGACTTGCATAGATAATAGACGTCGTTATTTTGCCACCCGCCAACTACAGTAGTTTTTTGGAACTTCATAAAAATAGGGACGGAAATTTGAAATTTAACCTCCTTATATCTAGTCTTCATAGTAGTAATTCATATTTCTTTTTTATTGTTCACGTCGTTGTATGTTTTTTGAATATTGACTTAGAAAAATTAAAGAATTGTCAAATAATAACGAATTTTTATCTTCGTCTTGGTTGTGGCAAAGGACCCGTACTACAACAATGGCATCGTAGGATTATAACAAAATGTTGTTCAGTTACATACTGAACTATTATTAATTCAAAATGTAATATTTTATAAGGTTAAAGAAAATTTTAAAATACAGGGTATTGTAAAAACTGCTTGTGTAATATTAATAGATTTTGAAAACTGTTTAACACACTTTATGATATAATAAAAAATTTATTTCGAATCTGTATATCAGGAAGCGTTGACACAGTGATTTTGCTGCGCGACCTGAAAACCTTTATTTAAATTTAAATTCCATGCTAAAATAAGACTTATTGCAAACCTCAAATTTTGATATTAGAGTCCTTGTCCTTATACATATTTCTAACCTCAAGTACCTAAAATTGGCACCTGTCGAAAATGTGACTCGTTAAATTGCGAAATAAATAAATTGGGTGAAAGAAGTCGGGCAGCAAAGTTATTGGAGGTGCACTTTCGAAAGGCAGAAGCAGCTTCCATGTTTACGAAAATAGATATTGCTTCCTCGCAAGTGCCAGGAAGCACAACTAGTATGTTCTCAGTGGATTTAGAACAAGTCATGTTCGTACGTACCTACTTTGACCCACTCTGACATGTTCTACATGAGCAAACGTTCATGCTATAACTTAGGAATCAACTTTGGGGATAACAAAAATTCATACATGCGCTGCTGCTGGTATGAGGGAGTGGTAGGACGGGGCGGTAACGAAATTGCGTCTTGTTTATTTCGCGTCCTGAATATGGGCATTACCAAAAAAGGAATGTTGTTGTTTGGAGCTATAACTGTACTGCCCAAAATAAAAACAGAATGTTTCTTTTTATTTATGGGTTTTTGGTGAGTTGTAGATTCTTTGACACTATTGAACATAGGTACTTTGTCTTTCAGTGCAACAAGGATTTCGCGTTGTTCGAGAAAAGAAAGCGTAAGTGCGCCCCGATGGTACCTGAGGACTTACACAATGTAATACTGCTAAATACACACAAAGGCCAATTTGGAACAGCAGATATGCCACATAAAATTTTTTTGATGTATAAACGGTAGCCGACAAGATTATAAATCTCAAACAAGTGAATATTAGCAGAGTTGCACGAATGAAAGTTGACTCCCAAAAACCTGGCTTTTTGGTTACTGCAGAATGTTTTTCTGAAGTAGCACAATGGAAAGAAACTTCGATACTTAAAAGAGAAGAACCATGGAAGATCTTAAAAATATCTCAATTAACCAGCTACCAGACATAAATAAGATCGGTGATAACAAGAAAAAGCATCTAATATCGATGATTCCTTATCTAATAGATAATAAACACCAAGAATTTTACTCTAATTTAACCAAATAATATGTTGGCACTTAGCCTGTTTCTCAATTTTTTCTTTTCTTTTGAGATTTGTCCAAAAAACATTTTTTTTTTCTTTTTTGTATCGTAGCCTATTTAGGCGTAAGCCAAATATTGTTTTAGTTTTTAATTTTTAAATAAAATGGTTTTTATTTTGTTTTTAATAATTTTTGCCCTTAGCCCCTTTGTTACTTCTACCCCTCAATTAAAATGTTTGGATAATATGTGTTCTTACAGAGAATTGATACGCCACTGAACAAGAGAGGTGTTTACTTTCCCCCTTGTGCCCGTTTCCACACTTCCTCTACAGATGTTACGAACACAACAATCGTCTACAAACTCGTTACACGCTCTAGCAGTAATTGCTCGAAGGTGGTACCTGACAGTTTAGATATGGCAAAGCTGTGGGCTTGTTGTCAGTGACATGGTCAATGATACATGTATAGTTATATAGATTGCTAAAAGCGGGTCTTTCAAGTACTTTAGAAACATGGATGATAAAACTATATAACTAAATATTGATATAGATTTTTTTTTAATAAATTTGCCCAGACTCTTAAAAGGGGGTGGTTCGGTTCTAGAAATTTACAAAAAAAATATATTATTTATGAAATTTAATATTAAAAAAATTTAATTTTAAATTCTTCTGCTATCTTCTCTTCCCGTTAGCTCCTTCTCTCCACTTGTCTTTACCTGTCCGCTTGTCTCTGCCTGTCTGCTCGATTCTATATCTCTGCTATTCTGTACCTATCTGCTAATCTCTATCTGTGTGTGTTGTTCGTGTTTACCTGTCTCTTATGTATGTATCTGTCGTGGCTCTGCCTCTCCTGCTTCTACCTGTCTTTGCTTCTTTCTAATGTATTATTTTTAATTAAAGTTCTTATATACCTTTTATTTTATTAATTTCTTCTATCTGGTTTAACAATTCTCCAACTCTAACATCATTAATCTCTCTAATTTAATTTTATATAACATTCCAAATATCCTCCCTCTGATAGTTTTTTATTCCCACTGACAATTCTATTTTCTGACCTTCTTTCTTCCCAAAATCAACAAAAAAACCCGACATTTTGATTTTTCACTTAAATTTTACTTTCCAGACACTTCACCACCCCAGTATTGTTCAATTTAGATATTAATTTTGATGACGTCAGGAATTTCTATATCAATATATATATATCATTGACCCTGTCAAATCACCAGGCTCACAGAGTTGCCATATCATTATCTATCATGTGCCTGTTAGTGGCTTGTCATTACCTACGGGCAACCATTTTGTTCGGAGTGCCTAAATCATGGAGGTATAATACTATGAGGCCTAAATACACCTATTGTTTAATCAGCGATTTTAAGCTAAGACTATTTAAATATTCGTGAATATATGCCTATAAAAGTCAAAAGTTTTGTCATTAATAGTCATTCTCATTGTCAAATTTTAATATGCAACATTTAACACTAAAATTTCTGTGAACCCATTACATTCCCAATATGATACCACTAATTCGGTTTTCTTTAAGGAGCCAAGCGTAAGGTTGGCAAAATCTATTTAAAATATTAAATAACTCAAAGCGATTTCAGAAAATTTATTAGTTTCATAACAAAAAGAAGATACAGCATTAAGAAGAAAGACAAGAAAGAGGAAAAGAAAGACGAAAAGAGATCAAAACAAGATACTAACGTTTGTTCAATAACTGATTGTGTAGTAGATCCTATTAATCCAGAACCGTCGGTGTTAATAATTGGGGCAGGAATAGCTGGATTATCCGCGGCTCAAAGACTTATGCAATGTGGTATCACTAATTTTACAATTTTAGAAGCTTCAGACAGGTAAACAAGTAAATTCAAAGTGATGAACCCAGTAGTTTTAGTTTACACTTTTCTTGATTCATTCTAGTAATACAGTCTGAAATCACGAAGGCTCTATATTTTAAAATGTATGTACATTCTAAGGAAACTTACAGCATGACAAGATTAAGATGACAAGTCAGAATTAGATGCACACTGGCAAATGTTCAAAATAGATAATTTGGCAACACTGCACAAGTGAACACAAAAAGTTCACTAAAAACCATAGCATCAAAGTTTAGCCATTTTTAAATTTGCCAGTGCGCATATAAATCTGACTTGCCATCTCAATTTTGTCGTATTGTATATATTTAACATTTTGCTTTTTTTTACTATATCCAACTCATATGTAGATTTACAATTAGGCATTCCAACGACCTGTCCAAATGGCTACCAGTGGGTAATGACAGTTTAGATATGGCAACCCTGTTGTCATGCTGTCATTAACAGGGTCAATGATACATATATAGTTATATAGATTGCTCAAAGCTGGTCGTTTACGAGCGGCCATATTGCCTGAAAAATATTTATTAATTTGAATCGGTTTAGCAAAAATGTGTTTTAAAACCAATTTTTAGCCTTTAGATATTTAAAAAAAAATAATTGCTTACATTTTTACTTCAAGGCATAAGCTTATGTTTATTTTGAAAAATATGGATGATCAATCTATGTAACTATCTATTTCATTGACCTTGTCAAATCACCAGGCCTACAGGGTTGCCATAATTTTGCCATATCATAACCCGTCAAAACCCACTGGTAGCCATTCAGTTTGGAATGCCTAATAGTGATGAAATTGAGCATAAAGCAACGATAGATAGATATAGCGTCAGAGAGAGAGAGAAGTTGACACATAGTTAAACATAGTTAAAACCATCAAACATACCTTTAAGAAAGTCTTTTCATGATCGCTGCAGTAACATGCAGCAGCTGCAAGCAACCGAGAAAAGTGGCAGAGACACTGACACTACCATTCTAATGAAATTAAATGAGATGCCGTTCAATGCAGCAGCTAGCTTAATAAGTGTTTCGTCTTATTTAAAATTAGTAAAGTTAGTATTTAAAATACAACCAATAGTAAAATAATACGAAGCATTAATATTTTATTAGCAAATTCTGGACATTCCTAGGAATTTTTGGTTGAATTTAGGGAACAATGTAGTTTGTAGAGTTGCACTATGTTTGTTTCTTTATTTCTTGACTAACTGTCATGCTAATATGAACTTCTTATAACACATTTGGTTTGATTATAAAAAAATCCTAATTTTTAAATGGTGTCATCCTGTTTAGTCAAATGTATTTCTGAGTTAAACTATACAATGTTTGTTTGGATTTTCTTCTAGTCTGGATGGTCAAAACAACCAAGTTGCAGTACCGATAAATTTATTTCTTCATTTTGGTTAACACTATGTGTTTCGTATAAATTATTCCATATTTTTACAATGGATGACTTACTTATTATTTACGAAATCATATTTTTTAGACCCGGTGGCAGAATACATTCATGCTGGCTTGGTGACATCATAGCTGAAATGGGATGCCAATACATTAGAGGAGCTTGCTGCAACAATCCCGTTTTTAATTTAGCTGCACAAGAAGGTCTCGTTAAAGCACCAGAACGTCCAGAAAAACGCAAAATATTTTATTGCACTAGTGAAGGAAGGTTCATAGATAATACTATCGCGATGATGGCTTACGAAATCTTTACTGGAATTAAAAATGAAGCTTATCGTTTGTTCAATACTGGCAGTGCGAATGCACATGGATCGCTGAAGAATTTTTTATGTAAATACTAAAGGAGAGGGGTCATGGCAGTCACTTGTAAATTGCTAGGATTGTTTCCTACTATATTTTGTCTCTCTTTGAGCGAGGGATTTTGAAAACCAAAAATATAATATCTAAAACTATCATAGCCCCTTTACTTGCTAAAGTATTTTAAAAAACACCACTGGTGAAACTAAACTCATACCAATATTTTATTTACAATAATTTTTATTTCAAATCTAAGTACATAGTACGAAGCACTTAACAATTTAAACAAAATTTATTAGCTGGGGCCTATTTCATAAAAATTACTTATATTATTAGTAAATAATATTAGACTCATAAAATAATAATATAAATTGGCTTGTTTTCTGTTTCACAGATTAATAGGCCTTTTAATCACAAAATTTTTTGGTGCGCATGCGTTAGCATCAGCCATCTTTTTCGTACTGTTTTTTGTAAACAACCATGCTAAAGTGCCTGCGTATCAAAATTAAAATAAAAAATGTTGATTAATTGTAAAAAAAGTGAAAAAGAAAAAATAAGTTAAAAACCTCATCATTGAAAAAAAAAATTCCAAGCCATTGTAGTAATGTCGTCTGTACGAAAAGGAACAACAAAACGGTGTTGTTATGGAGTATGTAAAAGTGATACACGGTACAATAAATCATTCAAAACCAATACATATTATTTTATAAATTTTCCGAAGCCTTGTCTGGAATATCGCAAAAAAATAATTAAATCATCAAGCAAATCACATATTAAAGCATGTTCAAAATGTGCGAAGTGTGAATTATGGGTAAAAAAATGTGGCAGAAGTGATCGAAGTTTCAGATCTATAGATGATGTTACCAAGGATACTTATATTTGCTCACTACATTTTCTCGGAGAAAGTGGTCCAACTGAACAAAATCCTGATCCTTTAAGCTATCAAGAATCCCAACATATTGATAAATCAATCAATAAGGTAAGGTATAAAATAATTTAAACACAAATATGATTTTCGGAGTTTTAACCTTAAACCTGTTTTTAGGTGATCAAAGGAAGAACCAGCTTATTTGAAAAGTATAAAAGAGTAAATATGGAAAAACCAAGTGGATCTGAATATACGAAAGTAGATAATATTTTAACAGATACGCAGGTACAGTGTGAAATTATAAAAATGTATTAATTGTATTGAAAAATTTTTGTATTTATTATAGACATCAACAGCTCATGAAGAGGTTCACAATGTACTTGATGATAATGCTTGTTTTGTTGAACAAATATTACCAGATCAAACATCGGAAATGAGTATAATCGACGGAGGTACAAATTGTGAAGAAGCTAGGAAGCATACAAGAACAATAGAAATTCAGACCGATTCGATAAAGATGCGTAATAAAAGTATTCAGGCTAAGTTGCAAAAGAATTCAGCCTTGGAAAAATTCATTAATTCTATTCGTAGTGATGAAAAAAAAAATGCATATTTTATACAAGTTTACATTTTGAGCAAATCCAAGCGTTACATAGATTTTTGAGCCCAGCTTGCGAAAACTTAGATTATTGGGGTAGTCGAGAGTCAAAGCATGAAAGTATCCAAAATAATAGTAAACACAAATTAACATCATTGAAGCAGTTGATTTTGGTATTATTAAGATTACGAATGGGATATCTAATAGAAGATTTAGCCTACAAGTTTGATATTTCTACGGGTTTTGTTTCACAAATATGTACAACTTGGATTTATTTTTTGTATAATGAATTTACTCAATTGAAGCCATTTATGTTTCCATGTAGGAAAACAATAGCTGAAACATTACCAAAAATATTTCGCTCTATAAAAAACATAAGAGTAATTGTAGACTGTGCTGAATTTTTTTGTCAATCACCGTCAAATTTTGAACACCAATGTAATTTATATTCAAGTTATAAGGCCCATACCACTTTTAAAGTTTTTATAGGATGTACTCCAAATGAGTGTGTTAGTTCTGTATCTGATGCATTCGAGGGTTCAATATCCGATCCTGAAATATTTAAACGATCAAAAATAGCAGACTTATTGCAACCTGGAGATGTGGTATTAGCAGATCGAGGTTTTACCGTTCATGATGTCGTTGAAGCTAAGCGAGCACATTTGAATATTCTTCCGTTTTTGAACGGACGAGACCGTTTAACAGATCAAGAGGAGATTTTGAGGAAGAAGATAGCCAAACAACGAATATATGTTGAGCATGTTATTGGGCGCATAAAAAATTTAGACTTCTTTCAACGGTTCTACCTTTAAATATGCGTACTATCATGTCGCAAATTATATTTGTTTGTGCATACTTGGTCAACTTTCAAACGCCAATAGTTTTCGATGAATAAAATGAAGACCGGTGTTTTAGGAAATAAAATAAATTGAAAGTCAAAATAATTGTAATATATATTTAAATTTCAAAACACATAACATTTGTAATGTTACAATATATTTAATTTTGTATTTTTTTATATTGTAAAAATAGATTTATGAATTTTGTTTTTGTTACGAATACTCTTTGTAATATATTGAGGAATATAAAAATAAAAAAAACATGTTGCAAACAGTAGGTTTGGAAATTCTTTATGAAATATATTTCACTTCGATAAGTCAAAAGGTATTAAACGCCGTGGGATTCTCATTTCAAAATACTCTGGAGCCAAAATATTTTGATGGAACGCACTAACGTGCTTAAGTATATGTTCAATGAAACTACCATCATAATAAATCTTCTCTACATGGAACCCTTTTGAAGTCCAAATGATACAATCACACCACAATCTTTCAGTTATTGCCATTTGAGTTTGTATTTGATAGTAATATGGGTGATTTCGTTTTAACTTCATGCATGTTGTACTAACAGAAGTACAACAAAATGAAGTACGCTGCTGTGGTGTCAGGAAATGTAAGTCTGTTGGGTTAAAACTTTCTAAGATTTTTGGGCACTTGACTTCCAATACTCCGGTTGTATTCCTCAGTGGATCCAAAATTAAGCCATCTGGCGATGCGCCTAATCCTGGGTACTTGGAATTCACCCACAAGCTACTACTCTGAACTTCATAAGAAAATTTTTTTGAAGTAAAGTCTTTGTATTTTTGACGTGCAATTTCTTCATTTTCTCTACCGTATTGCATTGCTTCAGTCGTTATATTTTGTTGGACCCACAGCTGAGAATTGACTAGAGCAAAAATTTGGTCATTTGTTTTATCAGTCTTAAATTGTTTAATTTTTGAAGCTGTTATCAATATTTTACGATATTGCCACCACTTATCATCATCACTTTGAACTCCTAAAGTTATATCAACAGGCCCAATCCTATTATTGCACACATTAGTCATTAGACGATAAACTAATGTTTTTAACTGACTTTTTCTCGGTTTATCTAATATATAATCTTCATATTGCGGCTGTAGTAACAATTGCCACATAGTAGGAGCTTTTCGACTAGCATTGATTAATTGTAAGTCAGATAGTAAATTATTTATTTTTTGTTTGTCTACAGGTCTTGTCAAACTTCGTCCAGGATCATATGACCTGCGTTTACTGATGTCATTTTTATTTTTGTATTGTTGCTCATCTGCTTTGTGAGGTTCTTTTCTTTTTCTACCTTGATTCCAGCTACATAGTTTACTTGTACAAGGTACATTATCTTCATCACATGCATCCAAATAATTTAATAAAACATATAGCAAAGCAGCTACATGAGAACACCGGCCCATACTCGATGCTTTGCAATCACAAGTACCATGAATTACTCGGGTAGTTGACGGATTGATCATAACTGAAACTTGATGAACTTCTTTAGCTTTATAAGAAGCTTGAATTTTGCATTTTAAGCAAAACATTTGATCAGATGTTACGCCTTCAAGAATTTCAAATATATGGCCGCTATCCACATACTGTTTGCCTCGTTTCAATGGTTTGGATGTACTGTAATCAGCTCTTGGACTTTGATCATTATTATTGTGGTTTTCAATGTCACTATCACTATTGTTGTCGTCTATGCATGATGTCACTAGATAATGATATATAGATCCATAGCTGAAGTTTTTGGGCACTTTGTCAGATGGTTGCCAATTGTTAGGATAATTTATTATTTGACTTCGCAAAAGATTTGGACTGTGTGTACCTAAGATATTTTGCCATTTTCCTTTGTCAATAGTTTGGTCCACTGGTACATTGTTCCTAATGGCATTTTTGACTCTGTAAATTTCATAATTTTTTTATATATTAGTTCATATTAAAAATTTTATTTATAATCACAACGACATATAAAATTCTGTATTTTAAATTGTCTAATTAATAATGCCATGTATAGCCTCAAAATATTAATGATTTATTTTATAAAAATGTAAACTATTATTTTTTTTATAAGTCTTTAGATAGTAAACAAATATCAATGTCTAACCTCTCAATCAGCTCACTTTTATTCCCTTTTTGCGGTCGTCCATGACATTTTAGCCACCTTCTCAATTGTTCACAAAATTATGAGCTTCAACTGAATCATAAATAAGTGAAGCACCATCGATGGTTGTTTCTAATAATTTATTAATTTTTGGAGATAATATCCCTTTCCCAGCCATTGTCGATCAAAACAGTACGAAACTTTTGAATTGCCGCTATTTCATCATGGTGGCTGCGCTTGCGCTCCTGACATGATGAAAAGGTCTATATATTAGCAGCATGGCAGCTACCTACTAGATCTAATGTCCTTATTGAAGTTTAGTTGATATGTCAAAAGGTAATATTTTTTAATTGTGAAGTGACATTCTTATTGAAATAAAAGATGCCTAAATTAAGCAAAAAGGAAGAAAAGAAAATGAAAAATGAAAAAATTTTAAGAAAAATATTAGAATTAAAGAATGAAGTTTTGTAAATGCAAGAGATTATGCTGTTTTAATAGGTTTAATACGAAGCGACAGAGAGTTTTGTTTATGTACGCGACGCAACTTGGCCTAACTTAAGGTCCAGAACAATGGTAAGTGTTATCTTTATTTATAATACGACTACATAAATGCAGTTATTTACTTTAATTGTATTTCAATTGCATTCTATAAGATATCGCCATATTTAAGAATTAGTTTTTAATACGTAATGCTTTAACAAAGCTTATTCAACATTGGTGTTTTTAAATAATGGAAACATTGTAATAAAAATCCATCACATTAGAGCCTAAGGTGTATTATACCTTTTAGTGCTGTAAAACTTTTGATTATTTTTTAAATTTTTTTATAACACAGGTCTGCAACAAAAAATATTCCATCAAATACAATTTTGCAAATATTTTCAAAGAAGCTGTTATATCTTACAAGCACTTTGGCCTTTATAGTTATGCATTTTTTCAATATTCTGTTGTGTATAATATGTAAACCATGCCATCTTTTATCTACATATTCAAATTTAGTTTTTTACCCAAAATACACCATTCTTGTAAGATATTCTGAGGTGGCCGATAAAATGAATTTTATTTTTGAAATCAGCACTAAAAAATACACTATAGTGTAATTAATTTTACTATTGAGCCGTTCTCACTTGTAAAGCATATAAAAGATTTTTATTTGACTAGAGACAAAAATTGACCAATCAAATAAAACTGGCGCACAAGGAGATCGCGAATCAAAATAAGATGACTCTGATAAACTAGTGATAGAAATAATTGAAAAGGAATCTCCTGTTGTTCAAGGAATTGGCCTACCCGATTCAATGGAAACTGTTTCCAAAGTTAAAGAGATTACCGAGGACTTTAGTTATTCTATGCCCAATGAAAATGATTATAATGGCACCACAAAAAGCAAGTGCTCGCTTCAACAATGTTCATGTAGAGGTAAGACTATAAAGTGACTAAAGTTATTTCAAAATAAGTCAACCTAGTTTCTAATTCAGATGATTACATATATTATTTTTGTAGGTAAGAAGAGTTATCGTTCAGCAACCAGATGATACTAAGAACATTCAATCTCTTAAGCTTGAGGTTCAGAAGTTGGAACTGGAAGTTTGGGAAAAAGAATGCTCACTTAATGTTAAACATTTTGTTTATACTATGAATATTGAATCATCCAACTATATGTGGTTGCGAAACACAACTGGGACAGATTATGATTGTAAATTCTACTGATTGTGACGAAGGGCAGTTTATTTATGTTAAAGAAAAATAATGATAATTTAATATCTTTAAAAGCATTATAATAAAATGTATGTTGTACTATTATTTATTTTATTACTATAACTGATGAAAGTTTAATAAGTAGCTACTTATCAAATGCCTACCAATTTATTATTTTACAGAACAAAAAATATATACAAAATAAATTTTTCACTATGCTGAAGAATAAAATGTTTTCTTGAACATTCTTGAACATTCTTGAACATTCTTGAACATTCTTGAACATTCTTGAACATTCTTGAAATATACATTTTGTACCTTTCACTTTTCCTCAAGAACATATAGCCCCTTCATGGAATAGTCTAGAAATTCCATTGACGCCCCACCAGATGCCTTTCTCTATTTCCGCCATGGTATAATACCATGATTCCCGCGCGCTGTCGGTATCTGTGTGGCATCGGTATTACATCTGTCTTTCAGGAACACGTTGCTTTTTCGTTGTATGTAAATACTGTGCTACAATTATAAAGTTTCTTGGATTTTGGACATTTTTTGGTTTGTGAGTTCTGTCCGGCACTCTTATACCACGTTAGTTTTTTGTTACACGTAAATATAGTGCTAAAACAATCAAATTTTTTGGATTTTGGCCCATTTTTGGTGTTTGAGTGGTGTCGGGCACTCTTGGACCACTTGGGTTTTTTGTTATACGTCAATACAGTGATCAAGTCTTTGGGATTTTGAACCATTTTTTTGGTGTTTAAGATGTTTCTGACACTCTTGTAAGTTTGAACAAGATGTTTAGTATTTAAGTTAAAAATTGAAGTTGATAATGAACAATTCAACATTAATAAAAACTCCCATTTGTTATTTGAATAAAGTATTATTTTCATAATTTTTGATTTTTCACTTTCTCCTTTACCATTTCCCACAGCGGTACCTTCGAAATCTATGGTGGACATGAATTAGGCATCCCCGAAAACCCCCAAGTAACGATTTTGGAGCGATTTTCATGGACGCTATCACCCCCCCCCCCCCAAGACAACCCCACATGGGGACCCCCGAGCGCCCTCGAGGGAATCTAAGGCTATAAATGAATTTGGACTGCCCGAAAACGAGTCTGGGGCGATTTTTATGGACAAGGCAATTTCCCCACCCCTGAATGACCCCCAGCCAAATACACAGAGGGACCCCCGAACACCCCCGGGGAAATCTATTGCTGGAAATGAATTTGGCATCCCCGAAAACCCCCGAGTAAGGATTTTAGAGCCATTTCCATGGACTCTGCAATTTCGCCCCCAAATCAGCCCCCGGGCACCCCGGTAGAGCCACCTCGACCACCCGCGGGTAATTCCAATGCCGGAATTGAATTAGGTATCTCCGAAAACCCCCCGAGTAACGAGTTTGGAGCGATTTTCATACACGCTGCCATTTCTATAATGGTGCAAGTTACGATGAAATTGGAAAATGCATTTTCCGGCCTAGAAGGCATTTTTCCAAAAACGCGCCAAACCAGACCATGTAAACTTTTTTCCCTGGACTTTCCTGAACACAATGCAGAAAACCGCATCTCGATATCTGGTGTATGAGAAAAGTTCCGCTATTCGGGTGATTTTGATCTAAATGCCCTGGACTATAACCTAAACCTTTCATTGAATTCGTAGATTTCTTCTAAATTCTCTCTTTGAAAATTCTCGGTCGTCTAACTACAATTCTAATTTCATCGTCACTTGAATCTGAATCCATAATTTTCAAATAAAATATGTCACATATAATATCAGTGCAAATTAAGTAATAATATTAGTAGTTATTTATTATTTAAAATTATTTGTTTACTTTAACTTTGAAACATACTAAGAGTAAGTTTACTAATAACTAATTTTATTACCTAAAATTATTATGAAACTAAAACTAATATTTCTTACTCATAATATTAAGCATTATGCAATATTATTAGACTAATAAGTTTTATGAACTAGGCCCCTGGTTATGTTTTGTGTCCTCATCCAAATATCATCTCAAGAAAAGTATTTCATAATTTTTTTTTACTTCTCGTTTAAAACGCCTTAAAAGCTCTGAAGCAACTTAAACGGTTTATATAAGTTTACTTATACAAATTTCAATCATTGTTCATGAATAATTTTTTCAACACTACCTTATTATTTCTCGAAATCTAGAAAAACCATACTCATTAATTCCTATTATATGAATAAGCACACTGAATGTGGTCGCCTAACATGTGCTAAATTTGTGATGTCTTCTTAACCTTAACGGATTTTTTACACTACTTATATTCTTAGGCTTTTGATTTGTAACATGTTCTTTCCAGTAATATTGTTTTTACTATTTTTTATGCCATGAAAGCAATAACAACTTGCTCATTTTCTAGACTTAAGAATTCAACAGGAGCTTCAAAAATTTCCTGAAGAACAGCGATACGATGTATCTAGAATACTCTATGGCTTGACAAACAGAATACGGTTCTTTGTTGGTGATGATTTGGAATGTGTTAGTGCTGATAGTATCGGAAGTTTAATTAACATTCCTGGCGGTGATGTATCTGTACCGTTTGGTAAGTAAGAGCATTTTGATTTGGCGTATTTAAAATTACAAGTAATAGAAATTTAAAATAACTTTGTTTCATTCATACTATACGTCACGGACGTCACGTATAGTATTTTATCCATCGATAGTTTGCGACGTTGCGATCCAGTAAATTGTTGCATATTGGGTGTTTTTGTTAATCTTTAGACTTTTTTGGAAAAATTTCGGCTTGTGTATAGCTAACAACATGGTTCGCGAGTGCATTTTGAGCAAAAAACTGGAAAATGTGGGGTCTGAAGTATCTTTTCATAAGTAAGTAAGGTTAGGTGATGATGTATTGCATAGTTCAGTGGTGTAGATTTAAAGTTTTTTGCCGTAATATCACATGTATTATCTACTTTTATATTACTATTATTTTCTTTGATCTTTCAACATTATTAATTTCGCAAAAAATTGTAATTAATAGAAACACTTTAGTCTGGACTATAGTGGTAAAATAAATATGCTTATGCTTGATTTTTAGATTCTCAACTGAAAGGCATACAAGAATTATTTGGCTATCACTTGTAGGACTTGAAGAAAATGAAGGTATCTAAGAAAGAGTGTTATGCTCGGAGCATTGTGATCTTAATGATATTCTTCAAAAAGCAAATATCTCAAGCCTGAAGCACTGCCAAAACTAAGTTCATTGTTTCGAGAAAGCTCATTTAGGTAACTAAAAACTTTCTTAATTATGTTTCGGAAATGTTTAGTTTATATTACAAAGAAATTTTTATATTGTAAGTTCTTTAAATTTTGTAGGTGCTTAACAAGGACAAACTTTTTTATAAACTTATATTACATGCCCCTTTCTTTGATTATTTTCATGAACTACCTTATTATTAATCAAAATGTATACTTACCTTTACATTAAAAGTTCTAAATACTCTGTTACAGCTCTGATTCAAGTATCAGTATTTTTGACAGCTCTAGTAAGAAACCAGAAGATAATTTATCTATGCCACACACATTTATGGATGATAATAAGTAAGTTAGTTTACTGCCTAGTTTTATAAGTTAAAAATTATCATTGGATAGGTTTATTGTACACGAGATTGTACAGTTTTACGTGTTTTCGGATTTTACAAAATTTACAGATCGCTATAAGAAGCGTTCCATTTAAAATCCCCACTTTGTATATAAGTATGGTAAATTTATTGATTTAATAACTTTTATAAATTTAGTAGTGTTGAAAATCTAAATTTTGATGTAAAAATCTCTCATTTACCAATTTGTAAAACTGTTCAAATTTTAACCCCAAAATTGAATTCGTAAATTTGTTTAAAATAAATCTTGATTTATTTATCTTGTTTTTATTTTATTTATTTTATTTTATTTAACATCTTTATATGTAATAAATGTATTATTCTTGGAGAAAAATAATGTTTTTAAGCTTTTTTCCTACATTCCACTAAACTTCATACCCTTATACCAAATCCAATCGGTTTTAAAGTTTAAACCATTATAAAGTTTATTGCACACCATATCGGTTAGTATTTCATTATTTTTTTATAATTATTTATGATTTTATCTTTAATAAGATACGCCACTGGTATTAACAGACTTTTAGTTGCGTACAACAGCAGCGTTGCCATACGAGATTTTCGATTACAGTCTGTCTTCTTTCGATCCGCATAAAATATCTTCTTTCTCTTTTCCGATGATTGGGACCAAACAAAACATACTTTATGAATGAAATGTATCATCTGTTGTTTCTTTTATCTAATAGCGGATTCGACTCAAATGCTCTTGCTCGATGACAAAGCGCTTTTAGTTCTGAATTGATTTTGGGCAGAATTTTTATAATTTAAATTTATATCTAGCAGTGCACACAGCAAGCACGAGCTAGAGTTCGACATTAGTGTAGCGCATATTTATCGTTATTCGACTGGCACAGTTAGCACTTGACATTTCAGATTTCTAACAAATTTTTAACGATATTTATTTATAGTTGCCATACCAAAAATTAAATCTCTATTAATTTCAAAGATTTTCCATTATCACTAATAATAAAGACAAAGATGGTAATATATTTATAAATATGAAACAATTCCTAACCTCCAAAATGACACTGGCACTGAAAAAAAGTACAGTTCCAAAAAATTCGAACTTTGAGCAAAAGCGCCTGCCAGTCGAACAAAAATTTCACTATGCGTTGGTACCGAGCAATTTCAGTCGAATGCAATAATTGACTTTTAATTAATTAGGTTCTGTCAGTCGAACAAACACCACTTAAAAAAGTCGAACTAAATGCGCATTAATGCAGCCAGTCGAATCCGCTATTGATAATCACAGACAGCAGAAAATCATTCAATGTAAGTTGGCACTATTGGCAGGTGCTTCTGGTCAAACATTGCTTGGAAAGTTGTAGTGATCAAAAGTGTTAAGCCGCTTGAATCTATTTAATAATAAGATAATAGACGACATTATTAGTAGTCAACGATTTTTGCGGCTTGGCCTTATTGACTGCTATAGTGTATGTTGACTAGATCTATTGACAAAATGTAAAAATATGTTAAACTAGGACATATTGTGACTCAAATACATTGATTGTGGCACTTTTGATGATTTTTAAGAGCTCCTATGCACTTAACTCATTTTCATCAAATTTGTGGCTTGATCACCTTGATCTCTATGGCGACGATTTACAAATGGATTCTACTTTATATAATAATTTTAATTTTAATTGATTTAAATTTTGATAACGTACATTTTTTCTGAATGGTTAGCAAAAGATTTGAAAGGGAATTATTTTGACGCCTTTATAATGTATAATAATGATCCGAAAATTATTTCAAATACATCTACTATATTTGTGAGCGAACTTGACATTTTGATTTATGAAACATAGAACTTCTTCAATTAACATACATTCTAGGAAATTAATATAATGCTTCCCTTTAGGTTTTGTAGGAGTTTTGAGCCCACTCTTGAGGGAGCTGCCAGAAGGTAGCCTAATGTTTAACAAGCCAGTACGACTGATTGAGTGGGGAGGACTTCCACTAAACAAATCAAGAGCAGTAGCTCATTGTTGCGATGGAAAGAAATTTTATGCGGATTATATAATAATCACAGTTTCTTTAGGTGTATTAAAGGAACATGCAGATAAATTGTTTTTACCATGCCTACCATCTAGTAAAATGCAAGCAATTAAAACTATAGGTAGGTGTGTTAATTCTATAGTCAATTTGAATGCAACGAGTGCTGTCAGTGTAATCACAAAGGTTTGTTCCAACACAATAGCAAATCGGTTTACGTACTGATGGGATTCTGCGCAGTCTAGATTTGGTGTTCTTACAAACCTCGGACTCAAAACTGTACAAAAACCCAGTGTTCCAACACATCCAAACTTAATCACAAACCAGTTTCTGTACTGTCAAATCAGCTCCTGGGTCTGAATAGGAACGAATTGTCAAGACATGCGCAAAACGAAACTGAGCTTGTAAATAAACCACGACCAACTCTGGAAATTTCGTGATTATATTTCTTATGATCAATGAGGTTGAATATCTACATAGTTTTAATAGAATCAATACTATTATTCTGACTTAAAGATTAAACAATTAAAATAAATGAAGTTTAATACTAACCATTCGAATAATCAAAATTTATAAATTATTTAATGAGTTTTATATTTCCAAAATTAAAAATTTCCCATTTGCTAAATTTGTTTTGATATTGACGATATTAACAAGGTGTGTCTGGTAACAGAAAAATGTGTTCCAACACACCCAGTTCCGAATTCAGTCCCAATCCTCGACAGGTCGTCGACTATCAGTCGCCGACAATAAGTTGTGGAGTGGTTTTTGTATGGTTCCAATATTGTTGTTGGAACAAACCTCAAACATATATAAAGTGACATGTAACATATATCTACTTGATAAATTTATTTTAGGGTTTGGAAATGTAGATAAAATTTTCTTAAACTACGATCGACCATTTTGGGTGTCATCGAACGGAAATTTTAGGTTTGCTTGGTCACAAGACGAGCTAGCCAACAGAACAGACTGGACAAAGGGTTTAAGTTCAATAGAAGAAGTTGACGGAAGCAAACATGTCCTCTGCGCGTTCATAAGTGGCCCGGAAGCGGTTGTTATGGAACAAGCTTCAGACGAAGAAGTTGCTTTTGGTATAACAAAAGTTTTAAGACAATTCACTGGCGATCCTTCGTTACCTTACCCTTCTACGGTGCTGAGGTCTAAATGGGCTTCCGATCCATACTTTTGTGGGGCTTTTAGCTATTTGACTTTGGATTCGGCTATTGATGATCAGAATGAGCTCAGTAGCCCTGTTCCAGATACAAGCGATCCAGTGCCTCCGATATTATTATTTGCAGGTAAAATGATAAAATAATTGATTTTATATTAGATATTCAACAAACTTTAATTATTTATCAAATTTATTTTTTTACTTTTATTTCCACATCATAATGTGTATTTCCTAGTTTTACTGTTTTAAAACCATTTTGTATGTTTTGCTGTGTTTCGCTTGTCCATTGTAAAGTACGTAGTCAGTTGCCATGCGGCGTTGCCACCTGTATCAGTTTTTAACTAAGTATTTTTCTGTGTTCAAATTTTGATCGCTTATAACTCTTATAAGCGATATAATAGGCTATACGATTATGAATATCATTATTTTTTACCTTTGTTGCTTTTACTCGCCATGTCTCGTATAGGCGACGTTCATACTTAGAGTTTTCTTTTTGTTTTTGGAGAATACCTCTTCTTGCTTTGATTTAAACATTTTTTAATTTAAAAATCATTTATGATAATTAATATGTATTTCTACAGGAGAAGCAACTTGTGTCGGACATCACTCGACAGTACACGGCGCCAGATTAAGTGGCATCAGAGAGGCAGAAAGAATAATCCATCTTACAAAACAATTTTCGGGACCACCACCAGGTTTTTTAAAAAATTAAAAATACATGTTGTTTTTATTTTGCTTTATTAAGTACTTTTATCAACATTAACTACTCTAAAATAAATAGGTTAAGCTTAGCCTATATCCACAGATATCGATAGTATTTTGTAAATACATGTGAACAAAATGTAATATTTATAAGTCTGAAATAAAATTTATTAATAACATAATTTTTACATATCAATAACAAATTTATAAAATATTTAAAAATGCAACAAAAGTCATTTAGAGTTAATTTTTTTCATATTTGTAGATTGCCAAAGTTTTGTAAAATAAATGTTGTGATTACATTAGGTTTTGCACAAAAAATTCTAAGCAAAAGTTCTAATCGCGAAAAAAAAAGAAGATATTAAGAAAAATTAATATTCATTTTTGAAGTGTTAATTAAATTATTTATTTATATGAAGAGTACAGTGAAAAAACTAGGATTATCAACAAATTGTAAATTTAAGATTTACCACAGAACACAGCAATTTGTGGGTGTTATTTTATTTTAACTGTATAAGATAGGGCATAAACATAAATTGTCTGCTAAATAAAGTCTTAAATAAATGCACACTATAGGGAAAAAGATGAAATATTTGCGCGGAACAGGATAAAAAGTTGGTATGTCATTTACACCATCACGTTCTTGGAGCCTGTGCTGCCAACCTAGCGGTTTTGTTTTCAGAATAAATGCTTGGCATTTTATATAGAGCTGTGTACTCAAATTAAAAATCGTTTTCCTTTTGAGAACACCTTGTCAGAAAATTTAATCGTTTTAGAGCCAAAAATTGCGTACTCTGCTGGCAACATTCCTAGCTTAACTAAACTTCTTAATTGCTTTCCTGTTTTAAAAGACAAAGTAAATATTGAAGAACTTAATTTAGAATGGAGGAAGGAGCATCCCTGACTTAAAAGAAATGGAAACACATTTAAATGACTTAGAGACCTTTTGGTGTCTTTTGTTATGCCAAAAAGATGGCAATAACGATTTTCAGTTTCCAAATTTAATAATTGTTACAACTTATGTTTTTCTTTACCGCATTCCTCGGCGTCAGCTGAACGAATGTTTTCACAATTGTTTTTAATAAAAACTAAACCCAGAAATAGTTTACTTATTGAAACCTGTCAAAATTTATTACATACAAAATATTATGTATCAGACTGTTACAAGGTTTGTTATAATTTTACGTCAAACGACGAAATTTAAAAAAAAAACGTCTATCCAAAACAAAACCAAGACACTGATTTACCAGATGTGGCACTAGCTGCACAACCTATTCAATACGTCGACACTGAAACTATCTAGTATGATCTGTAGATTAGTTTTAGCCATACTCAGCATCTTATATTTAGATATATATTTTTAAAATATATGAATGTCTTTTTTTAAGTTTTTAAAATCAGTTATTTTGTTTACTTTTTTAGAAATATATTTTTATTCTACATACGTTATTCTTTATTTTATCTTACTGATAAAATTTTGCTATTATTTTAGTATTATATTTCACTTTTGTGTTGCAATAAAAAAAAACAAGTGCCTTTTTTTAAATAATAAACATTTTAAAAAATCTGCTACATTTTTGTCGGATCTAATACAATTTCGAGAGTCAACTACTACATAATAAAAAAAAAATCTGGCAACGCTGCACGATACGCTAAAAGAAAAGACGGAAAAAAGTTGCATGTATATCCTACTTAAGGAAAATGAGCAATTTTGGGTGTCTATTCTACTTCATATTTCAACAAGTCACCTGGGGACCTATTTTCGAAGTCGAGAGAAATGATTTCTCTCAACATTTTCATAAGAAATGTCATATGCCAGCGTAAAAACACTATTTTGAAAACCAGTGAGAATTAAAACTCTTAGAATATTAATTCTCCCGAAAAAAATGAGAAAAACAGTCAGTTCTCTCTGGCTTTAAAAATACTATTTTCAAGTTGACGTATGGTATTTCTCATGAAAATCTTTAGAGAAATGAGTACCCCACAGTGGCGGTTTGTCCGTAAGGGCACTTGGGCACGTGCCCTAGTATAATAAACCAAAAAAAAATAATAACTTAGGTACATATTTTATATTTTCCTCAATGCCTATTATTATTTTATCTAATATTCAACGCAAACCGCGTTGGCACGACACTGAACGACCGAGCGTTGAGCGACGTTCCGAGAATTCCGAAATTAATTGGAAGATGGGCACAGTAAATGTGTGCCTCTGTTGTTTTCCATCTCATTATGATGCGAAAAACAAGGACAATATCGCTTAGCAAGAGATGAACACATGCGATGGATTATACGTCACAAGCGGGGCGCTGTCCTTATCGTGACGTGCTGTAGAGCCGGGCCAAGATGAGATTGGTACACAGTATGGCGACGACAAAAGTTGCGCACTGGCTGTTGCCTAGCAACGGTCACTCAGCGAAGCCAAACTTAGTCATTCAGTGGCGTAACCTGAGTCGAGTATATACAAAGTGAATATAGTGCGAAAAGTGACAATTTTATGTAATTATAGTGCCTTGTGATTTATATTTGTGTTTTGTGTATTGTGTTTTTATGTTTTAATGGCTCGAATTGCAATATTTATGGAGTATTCACTGAATATATTTCATATTCTACATTCTAGAAGGATATTCCAGACATACGTATTTTTGATATGCTCTGCATTTTCATTTTTCATATTGTATAGATATCTCTGTAGAATATTATGTTATATTTAACTATTTTGTTTTATTATCTATAAGTACAAATGAAGACATAGTTAACATGATCATCCTTGTTTAGTTTAAAAAGACTTAAATTAAAAAAAAACGTGAACTTAGAACTTCGGAATGTAACTTTAAATCATTATTGTGCAAACTTATTTTCAATTAATAAAAAAAATTAAGCCTCCGAGATCAAATTATCTTTCTCTTCATAGATAAAATAAGTATGTATAGTTTCCTATATAATGTAGACAAGAATAGGACAAAAGAATGATTCTAACAGTCAAAAGTATGCGCCTAGTACGTATTGGTAGTTGGTAGTAAAAATTACCTAATAGTGTCTTATTGGCTTCATTCATAATCTAGCCTATCGTCGAACGTAAGTCTTTGTTATACGGGAAGTTCGATTGTGAGGAATATTTTTTATTCATGATACCCTGGTCAAATACTCTAAACGGTGAAGGCCACTAATGAAAAAAAAAAAGAAGAATATGACACATTACCAAACATTGTCAGATTTACTAGAATAGAAACGTGTAGTGTGTAGTTTTTGTTTTTCTTACGATATACCCACCTAAGGGGTAAGTCTGATTATTTATAATAATATATGGTCCTTCTGTAGTATCAGTGTAGTGCTTAAAATCATAAATATTTTACAAGAAGTGTAAATCAATTGGTAGACGAGTCTCTTTTGATTTGCAGACAAGGCACCATGTAAACCTATTTTTGTTTTTTTAGAGATGTGTAGGAAAATCCACAGTACACAAATGGCAACGGAAAATGTAGAGGCCTATAAATAAAGTGACTCAAAGATGCTATAGAAGTAAGTATTACTGTAATGTTTGTCTCAAGGTTTTGAAATATTTCTATTTTACTGATATTTTTATCTGAATTCTAACACTTATTATTAAAAGCATCAAATGTAAATAATTTATAAATATCTTATAATACATATACATATCTTATATATCATTTTTTTTTAGGAGAAAAAAAAATTGAATATGCCATGAATATTCAAAATACCATGAATATAGGCATACATAGATATCCTCAGTAAATCCAGAGAATATGTCATACATATATTTTGGCAGATAAAACATATCGTGGGCATATGTTTCATGGTGACCTTGAATATTCCTGCAATCTTCCTGTCGTATGCCATGGCGGATATGGCATATCCATGGAATATAGGATTATGCAGTTGAGATATGCATTGAATATTCATGCAATATTTTTGTGCTGTCTGGGTTAATAGCCAAACAAGATATATAAAATATTACTAAATTTATGGAAAAAGAAGCAAATGAAGGATTTCAAATACCTCTAAAAAATTATCGGTGATTATGATAATACAGCATTTATTTTATAACGGTCGTAAGTATATTACATAACAAGTAATAAGAAGCGTTAGAATTTTTATTTTATTTAATCAGACTAAAGGGTTGATAAATTTTGAAAGATAGATTTTAGTTGCTGGTTATTTTTCTTCAGCAAAATAATGCCAAATTGCGATATACTTTTTGATCAACTGCAAAGTAGACAGCTCGATGCTCTCAAGGTTAAGATAAACATATCAAATTTTGCAGCAGCTATTCAAAATAATAGAAATAATATAGACACGCTAATTCATGAAGAATGGCAATCACAACAAGATCCACAAGAACTTAACTTAAACGACAACACCCAATAAGGTCCAAGTACAAGCAAGAGGAGACGGTTTGTTGAAAAGAAGGACCCCATTCCTAATTTAAGGATATGTAAGGAAATTTGTGATACAATAGTAGTGCACGTAAATGAACGTTTTAGTTTTACTACCCACCTAACAATTGCAAGTTTATTTGGTAGTGAAAAATTTAAAGACTATCAAGGTTGTTTTCCAAATGAGGACGTTAAAACTGTGTGCAGTTTATTTCCAAACGTTTACGGCTTAAAGTTAAAAAATGAACTGTCCATAATTTACACTCGAGATGACTTTGTGCAACACAATGGGGACGTACCGTTATTACAAATGTTTTTTGAGAACAATTTGACAATTACATTTTCGGAATCTGTGGAGCTGCTAACTATCCTGTGTACAATTCCCATGACCACAGTGGAGAGTGAAAGATGTTTTTCGACATTAAACCGTATTAAAACATTTTTAAGAAACACTATGTGTCAAGATAGATTGTGCGCGTTAGCCATGTTATCCATCGAAAAAAAACTTATTCGGTCCATTCCAAAGTTTAATAATTTGGTCATCGATCACTTCGCTAGCCAAAAATCCAGAAGAATTAACTTTAGCTATAAGAAATAGTATACAATTCCAGCGGTACCTAGCAGTTAGTCTTTTTGAAATATATTTAATTTTCAAAGCGGAGAACTTATTTTCATAAGGGAAAAACGAATCCCGGGATTCCTTTCTAGTATGTGCCCCACTGCCGCTAGTGCCCACGAGCCGCCACTGGTACCCCATAGTTTTAAAATAGTTTTTCAGTGACTCTCGTTCGTTTATTACAATTTCAGACATTTCAAATGATTCGAATTATATTAGTGTACTCGAATTAATTCGAATGATTTACCATTCGAATGATCACATCACTATTCTATAACAAGTCATGTTAAAGGCAACAAGAGGACAATGTGTAATCTTTGTCAATGTATATTAATCGAAGTACTAAAAACAAGTATAAAGCAAGGTAATGTTTTATTCCCTGTTCCACGAGTATAGAACAATAATGAAAAATACTTTCGAGAACATATTTGTCGATTATTTGTGGCTACTCAAACTTTTAATATCCCATTATAAAGACACTTCCCCTACTTAAACAAATATTGAGATCTTAGAGCAAACATTATAATAAAGAAATGCTAATGTAACATAATAAATAAAGGGCTATATTCGTTTTATTGTACACAAATTAAAAATTGAAATAAAGTATTTAAAAAGTTTCAAGCAACAAACAACATAAGGTCAATAAAAGTAAATATTTTTGTTTCCAAGAGACAACAAAAATACTGAATAAATGATATAAATAACTTTATATTTATCAATTTGAAATAATATAATTTTCTACTATATTTGTTTAATGACACTGTAAAGTTAGCGTATATTTGAAAACTATTTTATAAAAAATAATATTTTATTTTATTTTGAAATAACGAAACTTTCCAATATACTAAACCGCTAAAATATTTTTTCTCTTTTTATTAGGAGAAATATTTTCCTATTTTAACAATATTTATAAAAAGCAACAACATTAACACAGAAAATTAATTTAACTTCTTACACACAAAATACTTTGTATAAAAAAAATTACAAATATAACTATTATATATTTAACAATTTAAGAACGACTTGGTCTTCAAAAACATATAGAATAAATTAACAAATCAGTTGATATCATTATCAGTTTTCAAACATTGGTCACATTAATTTAAGCAGTTTTCGACAAAACGTCGTTAGCTGCTTCCTTAACTTCCTTCCAAGAAATTTCCATATCGGGCTCTTCAGTTATCCTAGAACACACCGCTACTCTAAGAAAATAGACGTCTTTAATTTTCGAAGGAACTAAATGTATGACACCCCTTCCGTTGATTCTCTTCAAGAGTGTTTCGTTGATTTCATTGGAAGACTTTAACCTAAAGCATACCAAACCCATGATAACTTCTTCTGTAATTTCAAATCTTTCATCCGATCTTACAAGACTTTCAAAATATTTAGCTAAGGAGATCTGTTTGCGGATATGAGCCTGGATGTTTTCTATTCCAAACAACCTTAGAACGAACCAAAGTTTTAACGATCTGAATCGCCTACCCAATGGTATTTGCCAATGTCGGTAATCTGGGGCCGATCCTTGTTGTTCGTGTTTTAGGTAGAGAGGGTCTACGTTGAAAGCGTTTACCAACCAAGAAGGGTCTTTGAGCCACATGGCCGAGCAATCGAAGTTGACCAGCATCCATTTGTGAGGGTTGAAGTTGAATGAATCTGCCCGTTCAATGCCCTTCATCAGATACCTAAAATTTGTTTGGCAATTAATAAAAGAGAAACTATACACGAAAATTATATAGCTTGTGTAAATAAAGTAAAATATTTTATTGATAGATCGGTTTAAAGTTCCGAAAAAACTGTTAATAAATCACATTTTTCACATTTTTTTTTAAAAAATATCAAGTTCACCCTCTTTATAAATAAAGTACGTATTTAAAAAATTAGTTATTCCTCTTGTAGAGCCATTTACCCCAATTGTGTCATTGTAAATGTTTTTTATAGGATACTAAACGTTTAGAACAGTAGCAGCATATATATCGTTCCTAGTGCCGATAAAGTACTTTCTAGAGATGATGCTGTTCTATATTTTTTAGAAGATATTATCAAATATGATGAAACTATTTTTACTGATAGTACTGTTAGCAAAATAAAAAGGGGAAAGCTGAAATTAAAGAATGAGGTAATACCATGTACATTGCCAAATCTCCCTTTATACTTGTATTTGTCAATAAAAAACTGTGTTTTATTTTACTCATAAAACTATATATTGGATCAATTCAAAAAAAAAATTGTCACAAAATTGTACTTCAAATTTCAGCATTTAAGAAACCATTTCGAATTTGGTCAAACTTACCTAATTTATATTTTATATAGATAAAATTAAATAAATTATCAATTAAAACATGCAAGACTTATTTAGAAATAAATACAACAATATGTTCTGTGCTTTATTAAACTATAAACAAGTTTATTTTTATAATTTTGACAAAATTATATATAATTCCCATAAGAAGCTATGTATTTTGAACACCGTATCCAGTACCAGCGCCCATGCGGTTAATTATAGAAGCTCAATTAGCATGTGTTTTTATAGACCTTATTTTGCCTCCTTATCTCTAGTCTTCATAGGTAAAACTATGGAGACTAAAGATAAGGAGGCGAATCTGAGGAGGCCAATCGGCATGCTCAAAATACGGTCCCAAAAATCACACGTCAATTGAGCTTTTATAATTAACCGCATCGGCACTGGTACGGTTTACGTAGTTCAAAATACATGGCTTCTTATGGGAATTATACATAATTTTGTAAAAATAATAAAAAGCCTGTCACTCCCCATACTTCCCACGTTAAAATCTAGCTCATATCTCAATGAGCTCGGCACCTCTTCCCTATTGGTCCGGGCACGATGGTTGCTGACACGACATGAGAAAAGTGACATCTAGAAAAATTGTTAAGTATTTTTGCAGTTTTTCACTGCACAACCTTCATAATGAAATTTGTATTAAAAAATACAGATCTATAACAAAATTAGATCATAAATAAATGTTTGAACCAAAAATATAAACGATCAGGAAGCCAAGTTATATTAGATTAGATATATTTACCCGCGTAAAAGATTTTAAATATTCAAGGTCACAGACTTTCAGATCGATTGGCATTTGAGTGCGATATCTTAAGGAGTGTTTTTATAATTCTGCATAAGTCCATTTCAACAATTTTAAGTAAAAGCATTTGCTTTTCGTTTATTCATTTGACCTCTTGTGTTAACTATACACTTTGACCGAACTAACAGGTTTGAAACTAGTTATGGTGAAACCAAAACAGCAAATATCTACTGCGCATGCTTCAAAGGTTCTGAAAAAGTTCTGGAACAGTTACAAAAGTGAACCAAAATAAAGCTATAGCTTCTTTTTTTCTTTCTTCTATTTCTAGTTTTAACGTTAATTTTTCCAGCCACTTATTGAATATATACCGGTGCCGATTTAGGTTCTTTTCTTAGTGCTGGCAACGACACAATGTATACAAATTTGTATTTTTAACGTTATCTTAACATGCACAGAACATTAAATACCTGCTAATCATTCCATTTTAATTTTGTAGATATTGAGGAAGCTTCTAATAATGCCCAAAAAAATCTGTAATTAACACGCCAGCAATGAAAGGGGCACCAGTAGACCTGTTTCAGTGGATAAAAGCCAGTTTAGAAGAAAGGGTAATATCATCATCTCTAGGCTAAATCAAGCAGGGGCTGCCCCAAGGGAATACTATCATCCCTCCTTTTGTCAGCTCCAGTGTACGAACTCATAAAGAGGCTAATATCTGCAGACTTATATTGCCTAGGGTATGCCGATGATATGACGATTGTCTTAAGAAGCCGCAGGTATAATATCAGAGTGCACACAAACCTCTAAACATCGTTAATAAGTGGTGCAGAGAGGTGGAACTAAAACCACAATAGTCAACTTCACAAAACGAAAAGTATTGACAGGACTAAAGTCACCAGTACTAAAAAGAGTGGTGATATCATTTGCTTAAAAAGCCAAATACTTGGGAGTCTTCTTTGACCGCAGGTTAACATGGCGTGACTTTTTGCAACACTTGCAAAAAGTCACCCAAAAGAGCACAACATCCTTCAACTTATGCCGAGGGTTGTGTGGAAAAAATTGGCTCTACAATTGAAAATGTCCCTATCGTTACATACCAAAGTCATAAGGCCGATGATAACCTACGGGTCGGTGGTATCGTGGTCAAAGACTCGGCAAGTTGAAACCATTCGACAGCTCAATGGCATTCAAAGACAAGCATGCCTGGGTAACACGGGAGCCATGAGAACGACTCCAACACCACTACATATATTTATTTAAGGTGAAGCCAGGTCTATCACATACATACTGCCCAAAGGTCCATCACACATAAGGAGTTTGCGTGGATGCGATAACACCGAGCTATATAAAGAGTTGGAGAATGACCAAATAATGGAAATGCTTCTAAATTATAGCTTACAAGAGCAATATAAAGTAAGTATACCAGACAGGGAAGCGAGGATACGAGGACCTCCTATGCACGCAGACTTAACCTGGTGTATAGACGACTCCAAAATCCATGAAGGTTCATGAGTAGGTATATATAGTACCAATCTATAGACAAGAATCTGACTGAGCTTAGGTAAACATGTGACAGAATTACAGGCAGAAATATTAGCAATACATCTCTGCCCGAAAGAAGTATAAAGTCGAAAGGTAAATGGAAAAATAATATATTCTCAGACAGTTAAGCGACGTTAGAAGCACTTAGGTCTATGTAACTCAGAGCTTGTGTGAATCTAGTTATAAGCCCTAAGAGAGCTGGGTAGTCAAAACAGACTAACCTTAGCCTGGGTGCCAGACCTCATAGAATATAAAGGCAACGAAGAGGCTAATTTACTAGCCCGAGAAGCAGCCTTAAAGGCTTTTATTGGCCTAGAACCCGTCAGAACATGCACAAAGCAGTGGATGTTTAAAATATCTCAGAAATGGTGAAAATATTCACCAGGGCAGAGACAGGCTAAAGAGTTCTTGAAAAGACTATCGCCCAAAACTCACTGAGCATCTACTACGTCTTAATAGGAAAAATATTAGAGTACTAGTAGGTCTATTATTAGGCTTAATAAACATGTGTATAATAATGGTCTGTCAGAAGAGACCCTGTGCCAATTCAGTCAGGAAGAGGGGAAACTACAGCACGTATTGTGCTATTGCGAAGATCTATCAAGACTAAGATTCCTTACACTTGGAAAAGAAAAACCAAGGGCAACTAACTACGCTGGAGAACTACTTCCTAGTCTAAGGAGTCTACTGCACAAAACCGAATTAGAGAAGCTACTCTAAACAACGATTAAAGGATATCCACAATAGATCTGAGAAGGTCGAGGAAGGGGAAGCCACGTGCCCCACCTCTAATATAATCTACCCATTCCATTTAGACTGAATAAATATTTTTTTATTATTACAAGTGTACATTATGCTGTGAAGCACGAGATCTAAATTTCTAAGTGCTTCCTCAAAATGTGTAAATTGTATCAAAATACGAGTATAATTACTTTAAACTGCCTACTTATTTGATTATTCAATCAATCAACAATTTTAAAATAAATTCTGTATTTAAAAATTGTGAATTTAACATATCGTAGATCACAAATCGAAATCCGAAAGGTCAGAATTATCTGAAAATAAGTTTTTAAATAAATTTAAAAATTTAGAAACAAATCTCAAAAATCCCCTTACGAACTATTAAGAACATCCCCGAAACCCAAATTTGAAAACAAATTTTTGTAGATTTGAAAAAAAACTTGTCATTGCTGGGAGTCATAGTTGGGGTCCGGGAATGGTCTTAATAATTGGTAAGGGGATTTTTGAGATTTGTTTCCGAACTTTCTAATTTATTTAAAAAAAAATTATTTGTTTTATCTCATATTTAGTATTATGTAATTAATTTTTAAGCCAAATATCAACTGTCTATTTATTTCTATACTTCAATCTCATATCTAAATCTAGCATCCTTTAGTAACTGATGTTTTGAATGATTTATTGATTTTACCTGTACTCTGGACAAATAAAAGCAGATCCAGCATATGCCGCGTCAACATGAAGCCAAACATTATTTTCGTTGCAAACGGGACCTATTTCGTCCAATCGGTCGAATGTACAGGATGACGTTGTTCCTAATGTTGCTACAGCCTGAAACAAGAGAATGGATATAAAAATATTTTGAAAATAGGGTAAAATAAAGATCATCACAATTATATCCATATTTAATTTTATAAAAGCAAATAAAGTTTAGTGCTATCAGTGCTAAGGAAATTTAATTGGTCCAAAAGTCAGTTTGATACGAAAAGAAAATAGGTAGATACTGTAATTTGGGAAGATAAACATATTCGCTCCGTGCGAAGTCATGGAAAGGGAAGCAAAAGCGATACTAGCGCTAGCTGCGGATAATTCGTGCATTTTAGGGGGATATTTTGTAATTTTGGCATATCAAATACACGTATACATTTTACTTTTTTTTCAAAAAAGTAGGTAAAAACAACACAATAAGCAACCGGAGTTGCTGTGTTGAAAATTGTACAAATACTAGCAAAAAAAAAACAGTGAAACTTATATAACAAATTTCACTAACAAAGTGGAAAATAAATCAAAGAAATAAATGGATAGGTGTACAATAAGAAGAAAAATTGCCTTTATTTTTATGATAATAACAGTAATGCTGGAAATAGTAGACATCAGAAACTAGAAAGTTTTTAAATAAACAATAAATTATCATTTTACGATGTTCTTTAATATCCCTTTATTCTTAAATGTTTATTCAGCAAGGACTAGATTTCAAGATTTCTGCCGTTGATTATAATATTTGGCTGGTATGCAATTTTGTGACTTACTGATCGGAAACCAGTTTTAATCATTCATTCTATGTTTTCTTTAGAACAAAAATGAAAATATAAGTAGCGATCCTTTTAATACATTTTAACTTCACGCTATTATAAATGGTTTCTTCAATGACAACTTATTAGACTTAGGCAACTTCTCATACATTTTCCAGTAAATACTGTTGCCTGCCTATATTTTATTATTGATTTTTAATGATTATACATAATTTTCTTCAATTTAAGCGTGAAAAATATATAATAATAATAAATTAATGTTTTAATTGTTTTATAAATCCATATACTTTTATTAAAACTACCATATATACTTTTTATTTACGAATTCTATTAAAAATTGTATTTGTCAGTATAGGCAGAAATACTCCTTTAATACCAAAACAAATTGGCGCTGCTGTCGCGCACGGAGCGAATAGGTGCTGTTGAATTTTACTTACATAAAATGGTATTAACCCTGCTTCCAAATCTTCCTGTATAGCTTTCTCTAAAGTTTCTCCAGACAACTTATTGTTATCGTCAGGCTGAAGAGATCTTAATTTTACTCCACCCAATAGACCAGCACGTTCCACAGAGGAATGACTTTGACCTAGAAAAATTATATAAATGATGATAACATATTATGTTAAATAGGTAAATTAAGTTTGTCCAATCTAAAAACTTAAAATCCTTAAATAAGTAATTTATGAAGATTATCATATATTCTACATTATAAAGTTAGACACTCGGTATAAATAATTTTCAAGCAATCTGTTACAACTGTTTATACTTTAAGATTTAACAAGAACACTCACTAGACGTGTATCCAACTAATTTTCCGACGATTTCAGTATCGCTCATTTCAGGTTTCTCTTTCTTGACTCTGTCAATGGCACGTGCTTTTGCTCCAAGAAGCGCAACCAAAGTGGCTTCACTAGCAGTGCCTTGAATTACACCTCCCCCTTTCCCTCCTGAACATGCCAGGAAAACTTCTGGCAAGCCAAGCATTTTTCCTAACCAATCCAACATTACTACTTCGAGTTCTGTGCATGCCGGACTTGCAATCTGAAAAACCATAGAAATAAATGTAATAATAAAATTAACTGAAATTGTATTAATAACTTTTTTCGTGCAATATTCATCGAAATACTGCGCAAATATTTGAAATTATATTTTTGTAAATAAATTCATCAATGTGGATGGACTTTTTAATCCACATTTATCATTCAAATTGTAATTAAAAACAAAAAACAATAGTAGGTATTTGTCATCCAAATCTTTACCTTCTAAATTGTTTCATTTAAATTTATGTATGTAAACACTTTTTTTAATAAATATGCTACAAAGTAAAGCGAAACATTCTTCTACAATGACAGAGGCTTCTGCAGAGTCGTATTTAACTTATTTGAGGCCCTGGGCACTTACAGGATGTTAAAGCAGAAATTCTAAAAGTGATTTTGAACGCTTACTGTTATTTTTTATATTATGTTTATTGTAAATTGCGAGTAATTTTTTTGGGTTCATCCTATTCGTGCTTAATAAATAAATAATTTTGTTATGCTAATATTAATATTTTATAATAGAACACGTAGGCAACCTCCAGCAATATTTCAATATTGTCAGGGTACAAGATTATCCAGATTATTTCCTCTAAATACATTAAAGTACGCTTGAATTAATCGTTTTAGTTGGAACAAAAGAGGAAATGAGCCTTTCACTTCTCGAGCCGAGGGCTGACTTCTTTACGGAACGAGGAGGAAAAGCTGGAAAACCATTGTTCGTACGCGCTTTGTTCCTTCTCCATAAATTCACTTGGGAGATAAAGAAGAAAATTATACACCTCGTTACTTATATGGGATGTGTTTTTATTTTCACGATTGGCTGATAGAAATAGAAGAAACAAGTTGAATGTGGAAATTCACATTGCTTTATATCGTTTTGTAAATAGGAAATTTATACTTGTCTTTAGACTCTTTTGAAATGTTATTTATTTAAAACAGGAAGTAGAGAGTTATAATTATAATTACACAAATTGGATAGCAAAAATTCAGGATTTTACGACCTACAGGATGGGCATAAAGTTTCTTGATAACATTTTATTTGTTAACATTTTATTAAACAATAGATTTTTCAGATTATAAGGGTGTGTACAATGTGCATGCCGAAAATACATCGAGCTATATCTTCACCCTAAATACATTTTACTTTTCTAATTTTCAAAAATAAAATAAAATGAAAAGTGCACAATTACTAAAGTTATGGATTTTTTATTTGGAAAAGACAATTTTTGCGCTCTGTTTTTAATTTTCTTTATTTTCAGAACATTCTTGTACTATAACAAAATGTGCTTCGAATAATATTTTATTTATTTATTATTTATTTTAGTGTATGCGATCTTTTATTATTAAAAAAAAAAATACGAAATTATCAGTACACCAGCTGATTGATATTCTATTGCAACATGCATTTACGCTTTAGATGTAAATACTAAGGTCGCCTTTAGTATATTTCTGGCACCGTTTATAAGTAAGTGCCTTTTAACTAATAAGATAAAAGAAAATGCTAATATCGAGGTTGATATACTCACCCAAGTGAAACCTATGCAGGCTATTGCACCGCTCAGTATGTCTGCAACTATTGCAGGATAAGAATTTGCTGTTGGGTAATAGGCGTGAAATCTGGGTGAATGCCAATGCGTCACCTGTAAACGATTAACAAAAAACAATGAAATATGATTTTAAACAAATTTAAAGTGTAAATAAAAGCAATACAATAAAAAAGTGTCAATATATTTTAGGAAATCAATATTTCACGAATAACTGCATCTTGCATCACGAAGAATAATGGTTAAGTCCGGGACTATACATAGCGTTTTACCGGGAGCGTTTTAGCGGGACCCGTTTGACGGGACAGGTACAAAACATTGTTTTAAGTGGCGCCGTTTATACATCTGCTCTTCTGCCGCATTTAAAACAAAGTGTTATACCTGTCCCGCCAAAAGAGTCCCGCTAAAACGCTCCCGTTAAAACGCTATGTATAGTACGGGACTAAAAGTCAATTTTTAGCAAAGTTGAGATATTGACGTCACTCGATAGAAAATACAGTAAATTTTGTTCTAAAAATATTGTCCACTGGAAGAACACACTAAGTAAAGAGATATTAAATATGCAAAATATCCCGTACAGGGGAATAACGCGGTACGTCCGTGCGGTACCAAGCAAAACCGGGCTAAGTCGCAATTTACGCATCTCTTCGGTAGAGCTGTGGTCTAATCGTTTTTATGCCAGTCAGTCACTGTCAGTAAATGTTATTTATGTTTTTGATTGCCACACATAATTAGGAACACTTTTCTACCATGGAAAGTGATTTAAATGAGTGTGAGGGTGTGCAGATGGTGGCTGCTACAAAAAAAGGCCAACACATGGAAGATTAATAGATGTCAATAAAAAACTGAAGGTGCAAAGCCATGAAATTGGAAGAGAATGCGATTGCAAACGTTTACAGTGCTCCGGAAAGATTCCTGTGGAGAGTAAGCAAAATATTATAAGAAGTTTCAATCTTTTAGAATCCACTGATATACAAAACTCCTATTTATGTGGACTCATTAGTATTGTTCCAGTCAAAAATAGATGACCTCGGCTGGATGAAGAAAATGCTCGTTTAAGAGATGTTGTAGCTCTTTATAAGATTAGATATTTATATGAAAATAATTTTACGGAATTAGTGTGTTGGGATGAGTTTATAGCTTTACATGGCATCACCAGACGTAGAATTGAGTATTTACTCACATCTTTGAAAAGTACTGGCATGCCTCCAACCGATAAAAGCGGAAAACACTCAAATAGATCATTAAAACTGTCTGATGATACTCGTAATAAAATTAAAGAGCCTATATCATCATTTAAAGGTAGAGATAGTCATTATAGTACCAAAGACTCTCAGAAAAAATATTTGCCTAAAGAGCTCAACATAAAAAAAATGTGGGAAATGTTTAAAAAGATGCATCCCGGCAAGTATCATACGAGACCTACAGAACCATTTTCGCCACAGATTTTAATATAGCTTTCGTTACCCACAAACAGACACGTGCAGCACATGTGACGAGTATCTAGCTAAAATGAAATGTCTGGAGCATGAAAACCAAAAACTAGATCAAACAAAGAAAGAAGACATAAGAGCTGAAATAAAACAACTGACCACATCACATGACCTGCATTTATGTAAAGCAAAATCATTCTATTTAATTAAAAAGCAATCAAAGCTTTCAAGTCGTAAATCAAACGTAAAAGAGTCAATCTGTATAGACCTCGGTAAAAATTTTCCTATCCCCAAAATTCCTACTAATGATGTATACTACAAGAGACAGTTGTCCAATTATTTGTTCAACGTTCACATTCTCTCTGACTCAAGAAGTGTCTTTTATGTATACCCAGGATACATCGCCAAAAAAGGTAGTGATGATGTTTCTTCTCTACTGAATCACTTTGTATATAATTATCTTGATTTAAATGTAAGACACTTGGGTTTGTTTTGTGATTCCTGCGGTAGACAAAACAAGAATTACACCTTTTTCCGCTACTTGCATACCACCAACAAAAAAGGTTTGATTCTGTATGAGTTACTTTCCCTATTAGATGTCATTCTTATATGAAAAATAATCATCAATCAGAAAGCCAGAGTTGAAACTGTAAAGGAATTATGTGACCCCGTCCAATGTTCCAGAAAAAACCACCCTTTGTAGTGGAACATATTTCAGAAGACAATCAACACATTTTTAAAAAGTGGGCCGAACACTTGAATAAATTCTACAAAAGAAAGTTAGCTTTTCAATTCAGCCAATGTTTCAAAAGAACACCCTAGGTTAATCAAGTATAGAGACACATACAATAGGACTTGGTTCTCTGCAGTTGTTATGGATAGAAAACCCATCGTTCTCAAAAATTTGGAGAGAAACAGCCAATTTCTTCTTCCAGAAATATCTTACACAGATAAATTTCAAAACGCTACAAAATCTAAAGTATTTGCATTCACAAATTTTTTTTACCAATACGTTTCCTAACTATCTGGGATTTTTGGGTCGTAAATTGAGAGGATTTAAAAAACTTTTTAATAGAAAAATCAACAATTTATTGATCACTGATCGTGACTTAGCCCGTTTTCCCCCTGAAATTAATGAAAAATGTTTTTTTGAAGTATGTTTATTTTAATCAACAAGTAGCTGTATGTCTACATAACTACTATAGAGAACCTGACCTTTAACTAAATTCAAATGAAGAATTAAAAGTTCGATTAGTGTAAGAAAATTAACAATTTTTTTTGTTTAACTTGAAAGTTTCTTTATACGGAAGAAGTCCTTCATATTTCCAATCAATTATGCACCAGTGAGGAAAAATAATCTTGAGCTTTTTTTCCACAGAACATTTTCAAACTCTGAAAATTGGCAAATTTTTCCGCCGAAATTGGTATTGGACCTGGAGCGAATAAGAAAAAATTAATAGTCAAACTAACAGTATAATTAATTTATTTCAAAATCATTAAATTTGTCTTAGCCCGTTTTTCCCATGTATCCTTCATTTGTATCCGTTCATTAATGGTTTTGAATTTCTACCCAACAGGGTTGTACTCACCATCACCATGTACAATGGGCTTCTCTGCATAAAGCTGTGTTATTAAAAGCGAATTATTTTGTCTTTTAAACACTTTTTCTGTCTAGTTTGGATTTACTCTCTATTTAAGTTAAACGAAAGTAACGCGTAACAAAACTAGACTCGTGACCACAGCATTATACGCACAAGCCCGACTTGCTATTGGCCAGCCCAGTGATCCTTTTCCTGTTTCCCTTTCTAGCTCAATGTGTGAATAGACCGATGTACAAATAAAACGCGTATTATTATACTGACCATTTATTATTTTTACCGACCATTTATTTTTGTATTGACCATTTATTATTTTACTGACCATTTAATATTTTCACCGACCATTTAATATTATACTGACCATTTATTATTTTCCCTGACCATTTATTGTCTTACTGACCAAGTGAAATAAAATAATGGAAAAGTGTACTTGCCATAAAATTTAAATAATGATCATTTAATTTGTGCCGGAAACATAAATAGATGGGTTCGAATAGATGCTGTCCATCTAATAGAACTCCCACAACTAACTCTGGAATATTTACAAGATTTGACCATTGGGGTATATCAAGTAAGGTTTGCACCCTCTTACGTGCAAGACAAGCTCCAAAGAGGTGCAGATGAAGAGTTTCAGTTTGAAATGCTTAGAGGAGAGAACAATTTGCCCGAGCGTGGTTTTCTTAGGGTTAGAGTTTATTTTCGATTCCGAAATACCACGAAACATCAGGAAACGAGGAAGATTATGAAGTCAACAGGAATGAAGAGCCCATTTTCGGTTATTATTGCACTTGTCCGTTTGCTGATCATACTGTTGGTACTTGTGCCCATGTTGCAAGTGTCTTATGGTTCTTAGGATATGCAAGGCACGAACCTAATATTCGTTATTCATCAACCAGTATTGTTAATACTATTTGAGATGCAAGAAACCGTCCTCAATGACTAAACTGTAATATTACATTATATTTTCCTAAATGCATTGATAAAAATCTAAAAGACTCAAATCGGAGTTCGTGATAATTTTTCTTTAACTATTCCTAAAATAGGACGATATATATTGTCCTGTATTATAAATAGATTGATAAAAAATATCGTGAAATCATAGATCCAATAAAACAATCGGCCCTTTTCAGGGCCAAGATGTACAAAATCCGATCGCGCGACCTCCACATGGTGTACATCAGGTAACGCTAGCGCCGACGGTAAAAATAAATATTGTGACGATTTGACAGTTATTTGACAGCTGTCAACTGTCAATATCGAGTTGGTAACATCAGTTTTGAACTCATCTGCCTCAAAAACATATACTTACATGTGGATTTTATTTATTAACCGACTTCAAAAAAGGAGGAGGTTCTCAATTCCTCGCAATATTTTTTTAATTTTTTTTTATGTATGTTCAGCGATAATTCTTTAACAAGATGTCCGATTTTAATGATTCTTTTTTTGTTAGAAAGGGGGTACTTCAGGGGTGGTCCTATATAAAGTTGGTCAAAATCTAATAATTGGGTCCATGAGAAAATCCTCAAACTCTTCATTTTTTTATGTATGTTTAGCGATAATGCTTTACCACCTTGTCCGATTTATATGATTCTTTTTTTGTTAGTAAGAGGGTATCTCAGGGGTGCACGTTTTTGAAGCCAGTTTTTTAAAATTTTTAATTTCTAATACTTGTTTTGATTGTCACATGCTGTTTGACAGTTATTTGACAGCTGATCACTATCAATATCGTCTTTTTGACATACATTTTGAACTCGGCAACCTCGAGGACATCTATTTACTCCTGAATTTTGTCAATTTTGATTGTCACATAGTATTTGACAGTTAGTTGACAGCTGAGAACTGTCAATATTGAGTTGTTAACATCAGTTTTAAACTGAGCTGCCTCAAAAACAGATATTTACATGTGGATATTATCAATTTTGATTATTGCTTGTTGTTTGACAGCTAGTTGACAGCTGTAAACTGTCAATATATATTGGCATTGGATTTGAATGCAGCGATCCCGAAATCATAAGAAGGTACTTCTTTTTTAACGCAGTAAATACTAAACTTTCGAGGAAATTGCCTTTTTAAGTAGGAGCCAAAATAAGCAAAATTGTGCTTTGTGCCCATTGAGACTTTTGCTCAAGATGCCGAAACGAACAACATATCCAAATTTCAGCCAATTTGACCTGGAGCCAATTTCGATGGCTATGACCATGGCTTGGTAAAGCCGAAAGCAATCAGTATAGTTTTAATAAAAAAAAATTATTTTTGACGGATTAAAGTATATTGATCATTCTACACCTCATTTTTTTTTAATGTGTATACTCTGTACATCTAATAATAATTAGAAATTAATTTAAATTTAGAAAACCAATTACTGCGCATTTAACAGAAGTTTAAAAGTTATTCTATTATTTTTATAATGCTAAGTATTAATAACTGAATCATTGCCATTTAATTCTAATTATGATTATTTGTCATGACGCGACATTTTTAAAAACGCTTGGTAATTGTCATTCGAATATCACTACTGAAATATTCTCATCGAATTCAAGTCTTGAGGTAAGCGGCAGGTTTCAATAGATACAGTAATTATTAAAGTTAGAAAAAATTACGTCTGCAATAACGTACTATATCGCATAATTTATTTGGACGAATAAAAAATATTTACTCTAAAGGTATTTATCTACAATCTTAAAAGCAGTGGCGGCTCGTTACCAAAATATTGGTGATTCACAATGACAGAATATACATCTCAGTACAGATCTAGGTAAAATATTGTCAGTATTTTAGAAAGGTATATTTTAAACACTTAATTTTTTTACCTAAATCTGTACTATTCTATATTCTCTCATTGTAAATCCCCAATATTTTGATCACGAGTCGCAACTGCTTAAAAGTAGTAGTTTAAGGTTTATCTTACCCAACCAAAAAAATTAATCTTATGTTCAAACATTTCCAAAAAGTCACCCAACATACTTGTCACATAAGTCACTGCTGGGTAAAGTTTGAAAAATCTACTAAGCCGTTTAAAAAAAAAAAATGTTAATTCCAGTAAGAAAAAGTTAACTCTCTTCTTAGGCAACCCATTTGCGGTATATTTATAAACATATTAAATAAAAAGAAACTTTCCTCCATTAAACAAATGGGTGAAGATCGACCTTATTTCGGATCTTAGACCAATAAGAAAAAATCAGCTACTTACTCCTGGCATGATGACTCGTTCTATGTCTTTCATTATATCTTCCCACTTGTCTGGTTTATCGGGTGCATTGTCTGGTATTAAAGGTCTAAGATAACCAGGTTCTACTGTTGGCAACACTCTCCTGTACAAAAAAAAAGTTAAATTTTAGATCATAAATATGGCATTGTGTCTAATTGTAAAGTAACAAAAAATTTAAAAATTTGATTCTCATATATTTATTTTCATATGTATGTTATAGGGAATGGGGTGTTAATACATGACTGTAACAGGTGTCGTGATAAAACGCCTGACCCAAATGACACAAGTCATTCGAATTCCAAAATGCCAATATCACATACTTTGATTTTATGTGACTATTAGCACATACTTTGATTTTCTTTTACTATACGAAGAATGGTCGCACTGCGCAGCTTTCTGAGTGCCTTTTAAAAGGAGATAGAAAACTCCGCCATTTTGAACCCTTATTACGTGTTGCCTACATCTTGGCGCAATATTTTTAATAGGTGCGTTTTAATCATCCGCTTCTTCTTCGGAATTGTCGGTTTTCTTGTTTTAATCTGACAGGTTAAAACGACTAAATCGACAATTCCGGAAGCAGAAGCGGATGATTGAAACGCACCTGATATTTTGCTTGCTGCTGTCAGTGTCAGTGAATATTATTATTGAAGTCACAGTTTATTGCTAAAGAATCAGTTAGCTCACTCGGACCAGTTGAAAATTCCAAAATAACATCCACTCCAGGGATACAAATTCAGGATACGCAGAAGACTGCTGTTTTATTATAGGCGGTTGTCATATATTGTATTATCCGAGTTGCACAGTGTATAAACTGAAACATTGAGATCAAAAGTGCCGACGTAGAGTGAGCGATCTGATTCTTTAGCTGTAAACTGTGTCACAGGGTTCAAAATGGCCGCGCCCTATGTTGGGCGTGTCGGACCTCTCTCTTGCCTCGTATAGTAATCAAAGTATGTGACTATTAGGCATTCCAACGACCTGTCCAAATGGCTACCAGTGGGTAATGACAGTTTAGATATGGCAACCCTGTTGTCATGTTGTCATTAACAGGGTCAATGATATATTTATAGTTATATAGATTGCTCAAAGCTGGTCGTTTACGAGCGACCATATTGCCTGCCAAATATTTATTAATTTGAATCGGTTTAGCAAAAATGTGTTTTAAAACCAATTTTTAGTCTTTAGATATTTAAAAAAAAATAATTGCTTACATTTTTACTTCAAAGCATAAGCTTATGTTTATTTTGAAAAATATGGATGATCAATCTATGTAACTATCTATTTCATTGACCTTGTCAAATCACCAGGCCTACAGGGTTGCCATCATTTTGCCATATCATAACCCACTGGTAGCCATTCAGCTTGGAATGCCTAATACGATGCAAGAGAGAGAGAGGTCCGACATGCCCAACATAGGGCGCGGCCATTTTGATGCCTTTACCACAGTTTATAGCTAAAGAATCAGTTCGATCACTCTGCGTCGGCACTTTTGATCTCAATGTTCCAGTTTATACACTGCGCAACTCGGATAATACAATATATGACAACCGCTTATAATAAAACAGCAGTCTTCCGCGCATCCTAAATTTGTATCCCTGGATTGGATGTTATTTTGGAACTTTCAATTGGTCCGAGTGAGCTAACTGATTCTTTAGCTCCAAAAATAATATTCTGTGACACTAACAGCAGGAAGCAAAATATTAAAAATATTGCGCCAAGATGTAGGCAACACGTAATAAGGCATCAAAATGGCGGAGTTTTCTATCTCCTTTTAAAGGCATCAGAAAGCTGCGCAGTGCGACCATTCTCCATATAGTAAGAGAAAATCAAAGTATGTGGCCAATATACATTCATTCCCATCTCAACATTTACAATCCTAATCCGTTCCGAACCTCAAATGAGTCACGTGTAGAACATACGTGATACAATGACGACCTAAACGATCTATTATGCCCCTTCTGTTGCTTATACAGCAAGTAAATGTCTATCTTCTAAGGGAAGTGTAGGATTTGAAAGGGCTTCAAGTTAGGTAAATCTCCCTCTGTTATTTGATATGCTTCTAGGTATACAAGAATTGCCTTTTATTGGAATTGGCCAACCCTAGTGTTGCAAACTGGCAACTGAAAACTCTGTCGTAAAGTTTGATATTTTTGAGGACATGCGTACTCAAAACGTTTTAACATACGAGCGCTATTTGTGTTGTTTACAGTAACTTAAAAGATTTATTTCGGCCAAAAAAATGTAAATAAATCGTGAACATTTTCGTGCGATTATTTTTTACAACTTTCGACGTGGATTAACTCAGCAACAGTGCATCGATGAACTTAATTCAATTTTTGGCGATGAAGCTCCATCAAGGACCAGTGTTTATCGATGGTATGGTAAACTCAATCGAGGTCGTAGTTCGCTCCAAGACGAATTTCGCGAAAGTCGTCTAAAATCAGTTGTTGTTCCGGAAACCATTAATGCTGTTCACGAACTGATATTGAAAGATCGTCATTTGACCTATCGTGAGATTGAGACAATCTTAGGCATTAGTGGGACCAGCATATATTCAATATTGCATGAACATTTGACTGTCAAAAAAATGTGTTTGCGTTGGATCCCACACAATTTGTCAATCATTCAAAAAAGACTCGTGTCGATTGGTCTAAATAAATGCTCAAAATATACGATTGCGGTGATTCGAGACACGTCTATGACATAGTGACAGGTGACGAATTGTGGATTTACGCGTATGAGCCCGAAAGTAAACAGCAGTCGACAAAGGCGCCAAATCCCCGGGGCTCTGGGTGCACAAGCACCCAGAGCAATTTTAAACTGGGTGCCGAGCACCCATAGCACAACGTGGATAAAAAGTGCCAGTTTCACTCCCTGAACGGAAACCCTCTAGCAGGGGTTAGTTTCACCCCCAAAATCTTAAATAGAAAGAGAGGTCGAATAATATCTTATTTTGAAGGTATTTTTACCTAGATTATAACCCCCCGAGTTTTACATTGCTACTATCTACGTAGTCCATACAGTGCACATACTTTGATTGATTATGTGACGTAGTCCATACAGTGGCTCATCAAAAGTACAGAACCGGTTTTACATTTTTACATTGTTATTAAAAAAAAAGTAATTTTTTGTAACAATTCTACTTTTATTCCTATAGCCTTCAATTATTGTTATCAGATGACATTCTTTGGTTGCTGTAAAGCAATTTTTGAGTTCCAGCGCCTATGGCAGTCAACTGTATGGGTGTTTCAAGATGAGCCAAATCCAACAAAAGTTGTTCGCCCACGAAGCACTTTCAAGTAAATGGTCGCCTGTTTTTTCTGAAAAACTGGACATGTCCCAACCATATCACTAGAACAACGTAGAACAGTCAATGTTGAGTGGTACACAACCATTTGTTTGCAAGTTGTCTTTCAAGAAATGAGGAGATCCAACCGTCGAAGACGGATCACTCTTCACCACGAAAATGGGAGCTCTTACACATCGGCTCGAACAACTGCATTTTTAAGAACTCAGAACGTCGATGTGATGAGTCATCCTTCGTATAGTCCTGACTTGGCACTGAACGACTTCTTTTTATTCCCGTATGTAAAGGATAAACTGAGAGGTCAACGTTTTTCGACACCTGAAGAAGCGGTTGATGCGTTCAGAATGCATGTTTTGGAGATACCTCAATCAGAGTGACAAACGTGCTTCGACATTTGGTTCAAACGTATGCAGAAGTGTATAGATCTTCATGGGGAATATTTTGAAAAGTAATAAACCGATTTTCGATGATTAATATTTGATTTCGGTCTCTAATCCTAAAATATAAAAGGCAACCCTGGTAGTGCCCTTGCATTCTGGAGTGCTACACATTCAGTCAGAATGTGAATGAAGGTTTCATCCTCCTCCTCACAGAATCTGCACTCGGAGTGCTACACATTCAGTCAGAATGTGAATGAAGGTTTCATCCTCCTCCTCACAGAATCTGCACTCATTTTCTTCTACCACCCTTAGTTTACTAAGGTGTCCTTTGAGTCGGCCATGACCAGTAAGGATCCCTGTTATACTTGATTTCTCTGAATACTGATACTTGATTTCTCTGAATACAGTTCTAAGATAAGCTTTTTTCTTATTTACTCAATACACCCTCCAATAAAAATGATATACTATTTTATACATCGGAATTTTTATAGGTAATTCAAAACAGTAAGAAATAATTAAAATTAATTTTAAATATTATTATTGTAGTGCTTGGTAGCAGGATTTAGCTTATTCCATGAGAAAAACTATCATTAAATCCCTATCGATGTAATTTTCCATTATTCTAATGGAAAACTCATAATAATTGACGAAAATCCCACATAAATTTTAAAAATAATTTTAATTAATAATTGAACACTCATTGTTTGTTACCTACTAATAATTGGATCAAGGTTGGCTAATGCTTTCACTTTTTCTTCGATAATTCACTCGAATCTATTAAGTATTAAATAATTCAAGATCTACTGTTAGCATTCTTCAGGATTTTAAGATTAATGTCTTTCGGCAAGGTCGAGGTCGCAATCAATTAAAATTAAACAATTAAAATGCAATATCCTGTGATTAGAAACCGCATTGACTGGATCAACAAACTTTATCATATTAATAAGTATATTATTTGTAACAAATGGTTCATATCATCAGAACTTTTTTACAGTTTATTCCGATATCTTTTTATGGGGTATTTGAACGTTAGTAGCTTTAAATTAGTCTAGAATAATACTACAAAAACATTTATTTTTGCAATTATTATGTGTGTTTAAATTATTTAAATAATTAATTTTACAGATTCTGTGGCAATTAAAAAAATAAAAAAAATAAAACAAAGAAAAATTAAAAAGTGTAATAATCAAATTTAACTTAGAGTTCTGCCTTTCTAGGCTCATTTTAGGCTCATTTTAGGCTAATTTTATACCAACATAAAAAAATTTCCACTCTTTTCTTTATAGAAAAAAATTAGGTACTCTGTTTGCTTAACAACAGACACGTATTGCGTTTTTCATTAAAAAATTCAACAATGTAAAAAATCATATCGGCATAATTTTAGGCTCATTTTAGGCTAATTCTAAACTAACATAAAAAAATTCCACTCGGGCCTTTATCGGAAAAATTGGGAGCTACCACCATAGGCTAAACCTGCCCTTAGCCTATATCCAAATAGTTATGAATCACCCTGTATAAATGTTTTGAAAAAGATTATATATTTTTATCTCACGACTTGTACTTGCATATTTATGAAATTAATGTTTGTTATTGAAAAGTATGCCGTTTTAAACAAATTTTCCCTAAAGAAGAATAAACTGATACTCTATAGGCTGTTAATTTAGAAACACCCTATATATCATTATAATTATTATATAATAAATAAATATATTTAATATATAATAATTACAAATATATATTTTTTTTATTAATTAGGTTTTGTAGATTATTTTTCCGGAAAATACGTTTTCTGATAAAAACGAGCTTTTAAATTAATAATTATTTGAAGATGGTTTCGAATTATAATTTTATTTGAAAACAATTATCCCACATTATATATAAAAAAAGCTTTTCCGTTCTTGAATCACTCAGACATTCAACCTGTATACCTATGTATATTACAATATATAAAATGTAGACTTACCTATCTCTTATATTCTCGAGGTAGTTGGCTACGTAATCAATCATCTCCTTCCCGAACTCCCTAAACTGATTAGCCTCCATTTCTGCAAGTATAGAAATTGATTGAATTCACCAAAGCTGATTTAAAATTTAATTTGCATGCTAGTAAATTGTGCCAATTCAACGTTTCAGGAGGATGGGTACTTTTATGTTATAAAGGGTGTAGATACTTTTCAAAATTTTACTAACACTACGTAATATAATGTAATACAATGCAATATAATGTAATACAATGTTATACAATGTTATACAATGTTATATAATGTTATACAATGTTATACAATGTTATACAATGTTATACAATGTTATACAATGTTATACAATGTTATACAATGTTATACAATGTTATACAATGTTATACAATGTTATACAATGTTATACAATGTTATACAATGTTATACAATGTTATACAATGTTATACAATGTTATACAATGTTATACAATGTTATACAATGTTATGTTATACAATGTTATACAATGTTATACAATGTTATACAATGTAATATAATGCAATGATATGCAATGTAACGCAATGTAATACAAATAATAATAATAATAATAATACTCTCCCTAATTCACCCCCTTACGAGTGAATTTTAACCCCAAAAGCTGAGCTTGTCCGGGGAAAGGGACGGCTATTATTATTATTTGCCGTGGCGCTCCGGGGCATCTTAAAGATGATTGATGGTGCCATTTGACTTACAGGTGAGGAAAACCCGGAAAACCTCACCCACCATCATCGAGACGGTAATGTATGGCGAATTTTTTTAATCTGCATGTCATATCAACAGAAATTGAATTTCTATTAATACGCCACACATCAAATCCTAAACCGAACCATGCAATTTAATTAAAAATCCACATGGTCTGGTCTGGGATTCGAAACCCAGCAGTCTCAGACTCATAAACTTGCCTATAAATGAATATAAGCGCGATAGACCGCTACACCACCGTGCCCGATACTTTTATAAATTTGAAGAAAATTGTACAAACCATTCAATTTGTAAAACTGACTTCAGTAATAGTTACAAATTGTTTGAAACTTGTTAATGAATAATAAATAAAAGTTTTTTAACTACTGTTAATAAATAGTTATTTGTTTAACTAGGCAGAGAAGTAACAGATTTACTAGCCAAGGAAGTAAATTTGTTTATCTGTCGTGTGAAACATATAATTTTTTCTCTGATTTTTTGTACAGTGTTTAAAAAATAGATTTTAAATAAAAACTTCTTGAAGTATAACGGATATAACTAACGAATTTGTAATATTTATCATAATCGTTTTTTTTTCTATAACTATATGCCTTTAATTCTTATACAAATATGCTTTGTAGTAACTTTTTTGCAGGATGCTTATGCAGAGCAAGACTTCAAACGAGAAAAGAAGAAAAAGTACATTTTTAATGCCTAGGCAGTAAAAGTGTTACTTCTGCGATCGAGAAATGTTACTACAAGTGACATATAATGTCAGTCAGAGAAAAAATGGTTTATTATTATTATTATTATTATTGCTACACCTCTTATATCAATTAGTTATAAGGACTACCTATAATAATAAACTTACAAATAGATCAATTTTATTTTAATGAAGGGCTATTTTCAATATTGAATTTAGATTTTTCCGTTAAACTTTAGTCTGAATAAAAGAGGAGTGCAGTGAAAGTGGGGATATAATTTCACATTCCATAGGCGTACTTTGCAAAATAAGTTTGTATAATATAAATAAGGTCACGGTATATAAAATGGTACATACGCACTTCGCAGATTAAATTTTAAATACAAAAAGTTATATTATTTACAAAAAATAAAAATTGTCACACTTTAACATTAAACGAATTAAATTTAACCAATTAATAACAAGGAAGATTATATGTTGTTAATGGGATTAAACATTTCTTTAATCTATTGGCCGTAAAAGTAACATTTCAGTACCTAAAATAAAAAGTTTACAAACTATCTTTAAAAATCACTGTCTTCACTATAACTACTGGTATCATTATCATTGTCTTTTTTGAGGATTATTAAGGTCTATTTAGTTTTCCATTGCTACATCCACTTTCCAAAATAATTTTTCTCCAATGTTCTTCATTTAGGTACATCTGAAACTGCTTTCAAAAGCAAATTTCTTACATCAGGTAAAATTAAATGTTGTATTAACATAACCTTTTAATTGTGACCAGATCAGTTCAATGGGATTCAACTCTGAGTGGTAACGAAGCGATCTGAGAATTTGATTTCATTTTTCTCGGACCATCTCGTCTATAATATATGTTTTGAATTAGTTTTTATGTTGCCTTGCTATTACAAGTAATTTTAATTTCAAGTATTTAGGAAGACCGATAATATTTTTAGAATGAAGCCATTTTGAAATTTCTTTCTTTCAACTTGTTGTAGGTAGTGACTCCTGTAATCGACGGTGATAGGATGCATTATCCAAAACCATAACGGAGTTGGCCACAATTTTTTATAAAATGTTCTGAAACTAATTTTCAAATATAGGGCCATCCATTTCTTCATGGTAGTCTTTTGTTTTCTTTGACTTGAACATTAATAAACTATCTGGCAAAAATTCATTGGTGTTTCCATCGTGAGTTATTATTAAAAGATTTCCTATTCCTGTTAGATTTTTTAATCCACAAGAGACCCCTTCCATAAAGACTTGTTTTTTTTTTTTAGTTTCGATGGAGGTATCTTGCCAAATTGTTGTAACTGTATGTCGAGGATCAATCCATGTTTTATCTATGTGCTGATTCCTTGCGTCCGCTATTTTTCTTAAATAATCATCCATTTTCAAGCCTATAACAAGTTTAACCATAGTTAACAAAGTTAACAAAGTAAACCTAGACATACAGACCTAAGACTTTAAGTGGTTTCTAAAGACGAATTACAAATAAAATTTAATGAAACAATCGTAGATGTACTTTATATAATAACTTAACATAAGAGGTGCATGAGTTATCATTGAAATTAATAAGCAATGATTAAAATGGAATAAGAGATTAAAATAAATGATCAAATTATAATTAACATAGGCGGGGAGAGGAGAAAGTGGAATGCCCAAGAGTACAGTATTACTCAATTCGAGTCGGTGGTCTACCCAAATTAAAGTAGACAAAGAAGGTGGCAGGTTTCGAATTAAACTACAAATGCTGTTGATTAAGCAAAGGTGAAATTCTAGAAGTGGAATAACCATAGTAACATTTCAAAACGTGACGTAAGACATTACCAGTGGCATCTTATTCAGGACGCTGGCAAGTGTTAAACTCCAAAGTAATCTCCCATCTTTAAGGGAAAAGAGATTATAATTGAAGAGGTAGGATTTAAGAGTTAGGAGCCAAATTCAAACATTCCACACGAAGGTTCTAAGGAGCCACATCTGTAAGAAATCGATGGTAATACCCTTGTACATGAAACAATTTGTGGTCGAGAAAGTAACCAAATAAAGTTGATCAGTTTCACTAACATGTACCAAGCGCGCATGTCAGTTTTACAAGATTAATATTTTGAACTAATAACAATACCAGAGAAAAAAATTACAATTAAATGACAATTATATTATTCGATAATATTATCGTTACAATATGGTTCAAAAACAGAAATAAATAAATAAACAAGCAAAAATATAAGAGATGAGGTAGAGTAGTGGATATTACTTTTTCCGAAATAATACCTAATTTCTGATTTAACTTATTATCCATAAAGAAGAAGAAAAGGAAAAATTATAAAGAGTAGCTAAGTGCGCTTATGTCAAATTATGTTAAATATACTGGCTCCTTGAATTTTTATTCGCCCTTCTCATATAAAAATTTCAACATTTTTAAAAAATATGACATTAAAATAGCCTTTAAAACTAGTAATAATTTATCCAGTATTCTTATTAACACAGAAGATGTAATTTCACATAGGTATGCTCAAATCCGTCATCTACAAAATAAGTTGTTCCACTTGTAACACTGTCTGAAGGCCAAAGTAGCCGTAGAATAATTGATCGAGTCCGTGAACGCAGTGATATGTTTAAAAATATAGATATTTCCAACACACAGTCTTCGTTTGTTAATCATCTATTAACAGAGAAACATGATTTCGATATTAGTAACACCATTCTACTTCATCAATGTACTAAAGCTCATAGAATGGATTTACTAGAATTTGCTGAAATTAATAAAGCAATGATCAATAATAATGTTAATTGTTAATGAACAAATACAACCTTTCGAAAATTTCATTTTTCTAAATTTAAACTTTTAACCCTTCGATTTGTTTATTATCGATATTTGCCAGTTCATAATTTAATAACCTCACTTAATCATTTTTAATTTGACATAAGCAAACTCAGTACTTATCATTATTCAGCTACTCTTTATGATTCGTCTTTTTTTCTTTTTTATGGATAATGAGTTATACCAAAAACCACCTAAATAAACGTTGAATATTAAAAGAAATAAAAAGGAATTTCAAAATTTTTAAACTAAAACAAATACAAACTATTTATCCACATATTTTAATATTCCTGGCCACTGCCAAGTAAAAACTTATCGTGGTTTGTTTACTGCGACAATTTTACCTATCTAGGTATGGCTATTTTTTTTTTGTTTTACGGTTTTGAAAACGATTTTCGGTTAGTTATTGGTATCAAGCGTTTAGTTCGTATTACTTTAATTTTTTTGATATTTTGTACGGAAAAATGGCCCACATTTATGGAAACAATGAACTAGTGGACATAATACTAACATACGGAGAGTGCCAACAAAATGCAGCCGCGGCATGTCGCCTTTACGCGGAAAGGTTTCCATTGTGAAATCATCCGACTCTCCGGATGTTTGTAAATTTAGTTATTCGACTTCTTGAGACAGGATACTTGAAAGAACAACGAAGGGGTCACTCTGGAAGACCTGCTCCGCCTGAAATGGTAGAAATTGAGGAAAATATTTTGTAAATGGTGGAAGATGACCCAACAATAAGTACCAGAGCTATAGCAACTCAAGTCGATGTTTCCCATAGTAAAGTGTGGAAAACAATACGACAGGAACAATATTATACTTATCATTATCAACGGGTATAAGCATAACAACCTGAAGATCATCCTAGAAGAGTTGAATTTTGCCAGTGGTTTTTACAACAGTTGAACAAAAATGAAGATTTTACGAAAATAATTTTAGTTACAAACGAATCCAATTTACACGAAATGGGATATTCAATTTTCACAACAGTCATGTTTGGGCAGTAGAAAATCAGCATGCCGTAAGAAGATCTAATTTCCAACATAGAATTTCATTAAATGTTTGGGCTGGTGTAGTAAATGGCATGGTAATTGGACCATACTTTTTTCCACCTCGGCTAACCGGTGACATTTATTTAGATTTTCTTCGAGACCATCTGCCAGAATTATTAGAAGATGTTCCACTGAATATTAGGCAGGATATGTGGTTTCTACATGACGGAGCTCCACCGCATTTCAAAAGAGAAGTTCGTGAATATTTGAATGAACAATTTCCGAATCGATGGATAGGGAGGAATGGACCCGTTTCTTGGCCTGCACGCTCCCTGAACCTAACGCCTTGTGATTTTTTTCTGTCGAGTTATTTAAAACAGTTGGTGTATCATGATGGAGAAGTAAATATTGTGGAAGAATTTCAAGACCGCATTGTAAATGCTTGTGATATTATTCGCGGACATACGGATGTTATTTTTGAGGCCGAGCAAGACTATGCATTAGTCGGACAAATGGTGACAATTTTGAACAAATTTTGTAAAAATGGAATATATTTTACCGATAATGAATGTTTTTAATTTTAAAAAAACCTATAACTCCCTTAGTATGCAACTTTTATTTATGTGATTTTTGGTATATCGACTTCTTTTGATGAGTTCTACAAGCTGTTAAAATAAATGACTCAATTTTGAAAACACCCTGTATACTTATGTGGGATTGATTTGGAGTTTTTTTTATTTTCTCATAATGCTTTATGTCCACTAGGTCGTTTACGCATACTTGTGCTTGCAATATTTTCTACTGAATTCGATATTCTTATATTACTGTAAATTTATAATATATACTAATAAAAAATTCCGAATCAATTAAAATACATACCTTACGACTTATCTGTCAAAAGAAAATATCTACCTCTTGAACCTGTACTACGTTCCGCAAATTAAATTACTGCACTTCTTTTTTCTCTAGACTATAATTATTCGAGTTGCCGATACCTTTTATTAAACGAAATATAGGTTAAGTATTGCTCATTTTAAAGGACTTACAATTACTTATTCTGCTGTGAAAAGAAACAATAGTAAACGCAAACATATTTTACTTCAATAAATGTTCTCGAAAACGTTCTCAGATTTCAATTATGTTTAAATTGCTACATCAATTATATCAGCACAGTCATTAGCAATTCTTTGTCGAAGATGTAAAATACCTACCCGAGTTTATTCTTTTTTACTTTTGAATCTCTTAGCTCTATTGTTATTTGAATTATCTATTGTTAATAAAGCATACTGGGAAGCTTTCCTGGAAATATTTGTCTTCAGTATTTTACTTTTAACATGTAATAAAATGTAAAATTTGTATAAAGTTTATTATTTTATTTTTCAGACAATAAGGAATCAAATGTCAGTTTCTTTGAAAAATTTAATAGATAAAATTAAACATTTTAAAAAGAAAAGTTCTGAAAAGTCCTTCATATGCTTATAAATTAAAGTTTTTGTACTACAAATAAACTAATACGTTAATTGTGATATGTGACATGTTAAAATTTAATATGAATTTAAAGAATCTCATTTTCCATTATTATATTTTTAACGTCTGTTAAATTTAAACTTATTTGTTATAAACTCAAAAAACAATAGTCAACGTGCTTTATTTATACATTTTTTCACTTACCGTTCATTATGAAATCCTGAGTAAGCTATTCAAAAACATGTAATGGTTAAAAAAATATTTCATATTTAAATACTAGGTAATAATAATTAGTATAAATGAGATGGACTCTATGAAATTACTGTTATAATGAGTCAATAGCAAAATACTGTTCATTAAAACCCAATAACTCTAATAAAATATAGATTAAATTTTTTTCTTTCAATACTTATATCACTTTGTGGAAAACAATTATTATAAACTGTATTTTCATAATAATTATATATTTATAATTAATGGGACTGATATTCAATATTTAAATTATAAATATAAACAAGAAGACGAAATTGCAATTTAAACATAAGGTGTAAAATTAAATTTGGTAAAATAAAGAGAAAATAAATTCAAAAAAGCATAAATCCGTAAAAAATAATGAGAACAATTTAAATTGATACTAATATATGAAAGTGATGGACTTGAGAAGAAATTTAAAAAGCAAGTACCTATTATGAAAAATAATGAGAACAATTTAAATTGGTACTATATGAAAGTGATGGACTTAGAAAGACCATCATAAAAGCTAACAAAAACTGTCACGTCCAACAACAAAATGAAGAAAAGAGGGTCAAGACTCAATAAAAACAAATATGGTAACGTTATTTAATCGAATATAGAAAAACTCTAAATCATTACCACATAAAATACATATTATTGAAATTATATAGTACAGTTTCGGCTAACTAACCATCATCAGGCCAGTAAGACAAAATAACTAAGCTGTAACACTTTGAATTATAAAGATTATGATAACATATAAAGGGTACAGGGGAAAAAAGGTGAATGTCCTAAAATTCCAATTTTAAGCTAATGGCGGGAATATTATGCTAAAATGATGTAAGAATCCGATAAAATATTAAAACCAATCAAAATAGATGAGAGGAGCAAGCCACAGTGAATCTAAATTTTACCGCACAGGGGAAAAAAGATGAACGTCCCTGCGAACTGGGGAAAAAAGATGAATGTCCATAAATATGGCAATCGCGCATTGTTTTGTTTTTCTCTCGATGCTTGTTTCCATTTTATTACGCGCTATTTTACTATTTCAGTAGTTCATGTGCCGTTTAATCGACCACCTGCTGTATGCTGTTTTTTTTCTCGTGCCACGTACAATCGAAATATTTTGTAATGAGTGGCGAAGACATTGAAGTTGATAGTACAGTTTTTCCTCTAAGATCTAAGAAACGGAAATCTCATAGACGTATGAAGAACGTTGCTAAGTTATTAAAACTACGAAGCCATGAAACAGGCCCAAGTTGTAATTGTACTAGATTTAAGTGTTTTGAAAATGTCACCGAAAGAGAGAGGTTGCAAATTATTAAACAGTTTAATGAACATGATGAACAAAATTTGTATTTGACTGGCTTAATTTCACATGCCCCCATTAAACGACACCGAAGTAGAAAGAATAATGATGAAGATTTTGAATATCACTCATATTCGTACACATACAAAATTCGTGTTCAACGAGATAATACAGCTATAGAAGTGCCAATATGTTATAAAGCTATGCTTTCTATGCATGAAATATCTGCGAATCGGCAACAGAATATCCAGCAGCACTTAACCACTTTTGGACATTAAACACGATGGGCGAGGTCAACATTCCAATCGAAAAAATCGTCTGCCAAATGAAATATCCACTGCCGTTTTTGACCATATTGCTTCGTTTAAAGGCTGAAAATCACATTACAGTCTCCATGACTCCCAACGTGTATATTTACCGGAAGATCTTAACGTGAAAAAGATGTTAAACATATTTTTGAAAGAAAATCCTGAGAAAAAGGTTTCCTACGAGACTTACATAAACTGCATCTTCTAAAAACTGAAACTTTTTACAAAAGAAAGAAAGCAGCCCGTTTAAATTCTCAAAAAAGTACAGAAAAAGAGGCAATAGCAATGGAGTTTCAAAAAAATTCACCAGTGCCAACTATCAGCACTAATAATGTATATTATAAACGCCCACTTTCTTTTTATTCCTTTAATATCCATGTGCTGTCTAACTCTGCTTCATATTTTTATACTTACACGGAGACTGCTGAAAAGAAGGGCTTAGATGAAGTAGCATCTATGCTATTTCATTTTATTTTCAATTTCTTGGATGAGCATGTCCAAGAGTTAGAAATTTTCTGCGATTCGTGTAGCGGCCAAAATAAGAATTATACCTCATTTCGTTTACTGCATTTCGTTGTCCATAGGACAAAACGCTTAAGGAAAATCAAGATGACGTTTCCAGTTCGGGGACACAGCTATCTAGAATGCGACCTCAACATGGGTCTAATAAACCAAAAGGCAGCAGTAGAACGTCCGGGTGAATGGAATGAGCAAATTCTGAGTGCTAGAAGTAAACCTGGTCCTTTTTGTGTATTTGACTGTGAAGATCAAAATATTTTTCGTTCATAGACAAATCACTTTGCAAATTACTCCTATAAAAAGTGTCCATTTGAAAGCAGACCAATCAAGGAACTTACAGTACATACTGGTATGCCGAGAATGATAGAATATCGTGAATCATATAACGGAGCTTGCACGACTTCTGTAGTGATACCGCCTAGAAGAAAGTCAAAAAATATTGATTTGTTACCTTCTGGCCAATTTGAAGTACCTTCTTTAAAATACAACGAGAAACTACCTATACCTTTGAAAAAGTTTCAATACCTATAAAAACTTAAAAGATTTTGTGAGCCCAATGCATGTAAGTACTTTGAAAACTTACCTTATAACCACACTACCGAAGATGAAGACGCTTAATTTATGTTAAAGGTTATAATTTACAATACTCAAGTTAACTTTTTGACGTTCGCTGTATGTTTTTTTATTAAATTATAACATTACCTAATATATTAATATGTTTTACCAAAATTTACCATTATGTGCCTTAATTTTAATAAAAAGGTACTTATTTAGATTATCTACTAATCTTAAGAATTTTTTGTTGATTTTTTTGTACTACTACATCTAAAACGCCCTGTATATTTTTTGTATGAGAATTTGTTTACTATTTTCGTTGGTACTACTTTCATATAACTAAAATTAAAGTTGCATGCTCTTTCGTTTCAATAAATAATGCAATTACTAGCACATAGTTTATGATAAATTACTCCATTTCCCCACTCGAACCTATGTCGTATAAATCCAAATTTTTTTTTTTTCAGCTACAAAAATAAACCTGTGCACTCAATAATTGGTAACAAAGTAATCTATACTACCAAGTATTGAGAAAAACATATTTGAGCCAAATATATTTTCAGACAAGTATTGTAGAAGCCTTCAAATTTTAAAATCCTACTTTCTCAGAAACTCATTTTTGTGACATTCATCTTATTCCCCTGTACCCTTCATGGCCTTCATATACTAATAAAGGTGAGAACAGCTATGGAAGGCATCATTATGTGGTAAAATAATAGGTAGGATGTGGCGTAGACAATGACGCTTACAAAAAGGTACTGTTTTTAAAGGTAAAGTTTAGAATATTTAAAACAGGAAATAAATAGAAATATTAACAACATGTGATAGGAAATTATTATATTGAAACAAAGGGTAACTTTTATTGGCTAAGAGGTCCCTGGTGAACTATTGAAAAACAAGTTAAAATTAACAATCTGAGATCGATAAGAATATGGAACTCGTTATATAATTCTTAAATGTAAATTAGGCCAAGAGAAGTATCTTAAAATTAGATATAGAACTCGAAGCTTGAAAATATTTTCGATAAAATAGAGAGGATATTCAAAAATAAAACATGGTAGAAGTAGGCATGATGAAATCCAAAAAGGTAGATCAAATGGTAAACCAAACAACGTTACATTTAACAAAGTGATCCCCATTAAAAACAGAATCAGTACCACCAAACAATTTGATGGGAAATAACACATTAATAAATATTATAAAAGATATTGTGAAAATTATTAATTAATTGCAACATAAATAATTTCAATAAAGTGTATTTTATGTAACATTGATTTAGAGTTTTTCTTTATTAAATAGGATAAAAGACAATATAAAAAAGATACCCTTTTTATAACTTTTCCAGAAGCTCTAGTACAATAAAATAGTTTTAAACATTTAAATGTGAAATAACTTCCGGTTAGTAAAATTATTGTAAACTCTTAACGCCCTATTTAATAAATCATTGAATCTAAAAGGGTCCCTGTGTTTTGTGGCATTTTCCAAAAAATAATACCAACCACAAACGGGGTGGGTGGCTCAGTGGTAGAGTCTCTGCCTGCCGATCCAAGGGTCCCAGGTACGAATCCCACCATTGGCCGGGATTTTTTCATTTAATTTAATTATTTAAAATTAATTCTGATGCCTTGGTAGGGTTCCCCACTCGACCATTCACTGTTGGGTACTAATTAAGAGTGCTGTTCCTAAAGTGGCACTGGGAAACAGTAACAAAGCCTACACAGAACACGATGCTAATAACCATAATATTTGATGCCGATGACACCAAAAAAAAAATACAAACAACAAATGAAACGAAATAGTCTAATTTGACCTTTTTCATAGATCTTTCTAAAACGGTTACAATATTATTACTTAAAATTCCCCCTTTTCATCATAATTTGTCCTGCGGAGAGGACGGATAGCCTGCCTTCACCGGGGAATTTACCATCGGGGTGGTAGAAGCCCACCAAACAGCTGCCTTTCAAAACTGGAGCATTTAGAGACACCTTTCGACAACGTTATTGACATGCAGGACTTTGACCTAAAAGACTGCCTATTCGACTGCCTAGCGAAAACCAGCAGGTTTTTAATGAGTTAGTAACCTGCAGAACTTTAACGAGTCTGTTGATACCCCTCAGCGTCAACCAGAAGGTTTTTGACGAGTTGATAACCTGCAGGACTTTGATGAGCTGGGAAGATGGCTGTCTCTAGACACTTCTCAAAGGCAACCAGCAGGTTGTAACAAGTTGAAAGGCACGTTCTATATACCACTAGAGGTTGCACAAAGAGCCTTATACGGCCTAAGTTCTGTGGAACAACCAACCTTCCTCCACCCTACAGATACGTGGTAGCTCTATATCCTAGCAATTTCAGGCCATCATGCATATTTTATAGACATTATTTCATAATAGTATACAGGACAGTCAAAAAGAATTTGAAACCGTGTTTCATTTTCATCTAAATAAAATATTTTAAGAGTAGAGGAGAAGGTACAAATATGAGCTATGCTAGTAATATGGGTTACCGAATTAACTATCCGAGGAAGAAAAGAAAACACATGCAGTAAAACATAAGGCATTTCTTTATAAGCTTACTATAATATACTTGGTTACAGTATTTTGGTAAGTGTTCTGTGATTGTTGTAACCCTATTATGTCACATGTCATATGTCAAATTTAATTTAAATTTGGGGATTTCTAAATGGAAATTGAAGTTTAGAAATATTAGAATATTTTGATTTGGTTATTTTTTGTTATAGTATGTTCTAGAAAACTTATAAATAAACGCCTCGTTAGATGTAGCTACATATACTTTGGTAACATGTAACCAAAGCAGAGTAATCAAACCTCATAAAGAAATGCTCTGGTTACATAAGTATGTTCTGGTAAGCTTATAAAGAAATGCCTATAATTTGCCACTGGAGAAACTAAGCACCTATGTCTGCCTTACTGTAAATATCTTATCTGTGGTGCTGTCAAATCAACGATTGCAGAATTTTTGATATAATTCAGTGACTTCATTGGATTACAACAATACTTTTTCACTAATACGAAGCTTTTGGTCCGTATTTTAATATTCTTTAGTAATTTTTGGGTTATTTTATCCTTGTAATTAAATATAAAAAATATATATTGTTGTTTATATTTTAATATGGGAAGTCCTAAGTGGAGGAAAACCTGGAGTTTAAATAACATGAAAAAAGCTATACAGGCAATGAGGGAAAAAACTATGGGTACTTTGAAGGCAGTTAAAACGTTTGAAGTTCCAAGGAGTACGTTACAACAATTAGCGAAAATGCCTGATGTTAGTCAAGATGAGGTTGTTAAAATAATCTCGGAAGAGGTACTGTGTTAGGTCTAGAGCTAGAAGAAACTTTGATAAGATATTTTTTTTAAAATGGAAGAAAAGTTTTATGGTTTCACAAGAACTGGCATAATTTGCATGGCTTACACTCTCGCAAAACAAAATGACATAAAATACCCGTTTGGGGAATCGCCGATTGCTAAAAATGGTTGACTGGATCTCTTTTTACAACGACATAAATACACTTTGTCTATATGAATGAACAAAGGTTTTAATAAAGCAAATGTTGTTGGTTTTTTTGCTTTTGGAAGAAGCCTACCAAAAATATGTTTCCAGCTAACCGCGTATATAATGTAGATAAAACCGGCATTACGGTGGTCTAAAAAAAAGGTAGTGAATTTCGCTAGTCGGAACGGAAAGAAACAAATAGTTTCTTTGAGTTCTGCTGAGACTGGGTCTTTTATAACCCTAATTGCGTGCAAAAATGCCTACCCCCATATTAATTTTCCCTCGCAAAATTAATGAAGGGTACTCCTCCCAGTTCCTTTGTAACAATGCATCCAAGCAGATGGGTGCAGACAAATTTGTTTACACAATAGTTTAACCATTTTATGCTAAAACCTCATGGAGATTCACCAATCCCATTATTACTTGACGGTCATTACAGTCATACAAGAAACTTTTACGTTATTATTATGTCAAGAGAAAGCCATATAGTAATTATTTCCTAACCCTCTACTCAATTCATAAGTTTGCAGTCGCTTGACAAGATTTTTATGGGGGCCCTTAAGGCAAACTGTAGTGAAGAAATACGGCAATGAATTCTGCATAATACTTGGCTTCTTTCCCAGTACGACGTCGGTGAACTTTTTGGTAGAACATATCTTAAGACCCAAAATGGCGAAATTGTTGTAAATGAATTTCGTGCTAGAGAAATATTTTCGGACGCAGATTTTATTGCAGTTGAAATTGAGGTGGAGTTACATTGCACAGCTGAAAATGAATTGAGTCTAACGGGATCTTCAAAGGAACAGGCTAACAATCCACATAATTCTAAACAGTAAGAATTGGAAAATGATTATAATACACTTGGACCAGGAGTATAGAAGAATATTCAAGTAACAAGAGATTTTAAGCAAAACAACAAGAATCATCCGATAAAAAAAACTAATCCTGGTTCTTCTAGCTCACAGAAAAACACCATAACTCCATAAAATACTACAAATCGAGGTAAAAAAGCATCTGGAGCCACTATACCCAATGTGCACACGTACGTATAAAAACGTCGAAAACTGATTTGTAACCAAACGTATAAAAATAGTTCAGATGTCGCGGAAAATAAAGTTAATTGCAACCAAACGTTATAGAAAAAGTATTATTTTATCAACATTCTGTTGAAAATTAATAGAGAAATACGTTAGAAAATAGTATTTTATGTATCAATTAAAATTTCACCGTTTGTTTTTTTTAACCAATAACCTTATTTTTATACTATACAACGTACAATTTACGTTCAAAAAACGAAGGTGTGCGCATTGGGTAACGTTTTTGCCCTATAAAGAAGAGCATGCTAAGAACGCTAATAAAGAAGTTACCAACACAGCTGTTAAAAATGTAAAAAGAAAGTTTTTTTATGAAAAATCCAAGGCTTGGAAAAAGAAAAATAGTGCATAACAATATAGATTCCTCCGACGATGAGACAGAATTTTTCCCAGCAGACAAAGACCAAGGTTTGGATAAAGTTCCTAAAAAAAAAACCAGATGATGGTGAAGATGCTCATTGCCTTTTTCGCGATGGAAAGTTTTCCGAAGATCAACGCGGTGGGTACAATGTCTAATATGTCATGTGTGAAGTCATGTAATTGCGCGGGTGCAGAGAAAGACGAAGATATCTACGATATTGTACAGAAATAAAAATTTTAAAAATTCATCGTGTATTTTTTATGGTATCCCATATTTATAACACTTTATCATTTGGTTTTTCAGGGTCATTTAAAATAAAAATTAAATAATAAAGAGATACATTAAAAAAAATGAGCTTGACATAGAAAGTTTTTTGACAGTTTGTGAAATGTTTGCGATGTTTTGGGTTAGAATAGTGCAAATGTCGTTAAAAATTAAAATGGTAGCCCATATTTGTACCTTCTTCTCTATGTAGATTTTTGGGTCATAGGATTGATTAAATAAATTAAAAATATATACAGTGTGTTCCATAAAGTTGGATCCATACGGGAAATTTTGTTTATAATACTTTTTTACTTTTTTAAAAATCTAAAATAGCCCATATTAAAATTGGCTAGGTACTGCATTAGTTATCTGTCAAATTCGGTATTTTTTGAAAAATAATTTTTTTTAATAGGAAACCGACCATCTCGTGAAAGTAAATATGTATAAGAATTTTCTTATAACGTTGTATTTATATGCTTATAATTGGAAATACTTTGTGATATTATATGTCTGGAGATTATTGAGAGCTTTAAATTTGTGCAACGATAAGGCAGCATTCTACAGAAACGTTTAATAAAAAAAGGTGGAAATCATCTTATTTAAAAACTACTATACATTTATTAAAACAAGTCACCAAATTTTCATAGATTTAATACAGAATGAGGCGGAAATGTTTTTTTTTTGAAATATCTTTTAAAAATTTTTAAAATAAATACTTTTCGAAGGTTTACAATAGGTTTCTCTACCCTAAGTTTTGTTATTATTGGTATTTCCTGAAAATTTCACAAAAATCGGACTATAAATAGAGGCTCATAATGAATTATTAATTTTCAAAGTGTTCGACAGAAAATTAATGTCAGTAGCCAACTTTGATGTGGACTATTTTAAGTTTTTAAATAAGCGGAGGTAATTGCCCAATGGATCCAACTTTATAGCACACACTGTATACATGGATAACGAGAACATTTTATTTGGGTACTTTAATAAGTATAAATGTTTGCTAAAAGATCGTTTTTAAGTTTGAAAGAATTCCATAGAATCAATGTTAATGTGTACAAAAATTATTGTACTTTAAGTGGGTAGCAATACTGAAATGAAGATGTTGCTCAAAACAAAGCATTGGATACCGATGGTTTGCCATAAATACAATTTTGTAGAACCAAATTAAACAATATACTTTAGCAAGTGTGTTAATAGGCATAAAAAGAATTATTTTCAAAAAACTTAATTGGGCTATTTTCAAAAATAACAAATATTTGAGGCCCCAGATCAATGTATAATTATAAAACATAATATTTAGTTATCTATGTTATCTGTGTTTTATATATTTTTTACGACAGTAGAGAATTAGCTAAACTATTGGGTGCAATAATTTTAAACAGTAGTATATTTATCGTCACTTCTAATTGGAGGTCATAATATTTGTTGAATAAATTACTCATTTTTGTTATCTTGTAGGTAATAATATTTTATTTTTATATATTTTTCTTTGAGATGGAATCACATTTCATAAGTATCTGACATTAGAAACAACATTTTCGTGTTTTAATTTTATTTATTACCTGTTACTCTTGACATTATTTCACGTTATTTTTTAATGACCCTGCTACACTAATACTTCGTATGACACTCTAAAATTATTATAATTTTGTAGAGTAGTTATTATTGTCTTGATATTTTTTTTCTTTTTTTGCAGATCATAAATGGCATAAGAAAGGGGCATAATACAAGAGAATATTTAAAAAGTTCCAGATTAAAACGATTATTTGCGTTTGTCTCAAAATTTTGGCAAATTTGCATACTATTTGGCCTTAGTCGCTTATTTTTAACAGCTGCTTAAAGTAACAATATTTCCTATTTCAAAGTTCCTTTAAACTAAAAAATTAAAAGTATAAATGGAATTAGAAGTATTGGAATTATTTGAAATTGTTGAAATTAGACAAGAATTCTTAGAATTTTCACTGTAATTTTTGGGTATTGTTGGAATTTTGATTGGAATTGCTGAATCGCTGAATTGCTTTGTTGGAATTATTAGAATTTCTTGAAATTGTTGAAATTGTCCCAACAAAAAATTTAATTTCGGTACTTAGATATTTTAAATCACTTCTATTTCTGCATCATATTTAATAGATTTTAATGTAAAAGCACATGCTTATGCTAATTATTTACATACCTATAGTCAGCAAAATATCCTTTCACTATTTTTATGTAGACAAACTATATATATATATATATTTTTATTTTTCACTTACTTTTCAATTAAACAAAAATTTCACAAATAAATCCAATCACAAAATTTTCGTCACTTTCTACCACTTTTTCTTTTTCTTTTTTTCAAACTATCCCACCACACACGGTCAACACCAAAGAACAGAATCCCTCCTGCTGATGGTAGCAAGCTTTAAATCTGACGGAAAACCGTAGTGGGGCCAACCGTCAACTCAGAGCACTCTTGATGATAAAATATATATCGATCAAAATGCACGGTTTCATTTTATGTTCCATTGGGACTCCCTTCGATGGGCTTGGGTTTTATTTTAGTGGGACATCTTAGAAATCAACTAACGTATGATAATGTCGACATGGGTTTTTCAGTAAAGGTATTCATCGCATGAGACGGGGATTTTTAGAAACGTGCTTCTGTATTTTTATTGTACCGGAAAACAAATATCTAATTAGCATAACTTGAAGAATATTATTTGCACCAGCTAATAAAAGTAATTTATACCAAGTTTAACAAACATAGAGAAGGTCACAATGTCAAAATATCTATAATTAATTTTTTTTCAAAGGTGATGGATTTTTCTATTTAAAATATTCTATTAGTTTACTGCTAATAGTACGTACTTATTTGCATACATTGCAAGTACTGATTCATGATAAATTAATGAATTTGTAGCTATGCTCTTTCTTATCTTTTACTATTATTGATAAACAAAATATTACATGCATATATTAATAAATATTATAAACTTATAAATACAGGGTTTACCATCTGAAAGAATCTCCAATGACCCAAAATATGAAGTCGTTAGATATGATAAAATAAAGTCGTTATATATAAAATGGCTTACATAAATTGGTGTTATCCAATACAAAATTTTCTTATAATAATCCGTATTCTAGAAATTTGACAGAAAGTGCAAAATACGAATTTATAAAAAAAAAATTAAATAGTTGTTTATAAATATTGAAATATTGAATAAACATTGAAATAGTGCAAAAAAATTCGGGAGGTGATAGTACTCCTAAAACTAGTAAAAAAAGTTCCTATAACTATGGGTCGTTAAATGCATATTAAGGGATTTAGGGGAGTCAAAAGTGCAAACTTGGAAAGTGGTTTTTTTGAATTTGTAAGCTTAAAAAACACGATAAAACTTCGAAAAAAATCACTGCTGACATAAAATTTACTGCTGAATCCAATGGTAATATCGAAAAATTACTTATTTAATCAGAAAGGGTAGTTCTTGTAAGAGTAAGGGGTCGATTTATGATTAACTTTTTAGGGGTTGATTTTTTTACAAGATGGGACTATTTTTTAAAAACTACTACCTTTTTTCCATAAAAAAAGTACTCTTATTGCAAGTGGCTTAAAGCAATGGTTTTCGAGAAAATTGAAGGCAATTTTTCTGAACCCGTATTTGAAAAACAAGTATGTATTTATTTTTTGATGGGTTGCTCACAGGTTAATCAACATAAATTTATGAAAATTACGGCGTGGTTATTTCAATTTAGAATTACCAAATCTCCCTGTTAAACAAGAGAAGTGTCGAAATTATTTTAAATAATAAAAGAGAGAAATTAAAGTGAAAAATATTTTATTACTATTATGGAAAGTACCGTATTTTTTTATCATATCAGTCTGACTCTTTTATTTAAAGTAAATGTTCAATGTGGCCACCATTTATTTCAATACAGACACCTGCTGTTCTCCTCCAGGATCTGCGTACCCTATCGAAAATCCTTGGCGTTGTACGAATTTGATTGGAGCAGTCAATTATCCGTTTTCGTAGTTGCTCTTCAGTATTAATCGGCACTGAGTAAACCAAAGCTTTTAAGTGACCCCATAAGTAGAAATCAAGTGGATTAAGATCTGGTGATCTGGCTGGCCAAGTTTGTGGACCAGCACGTCCTATCCAACGCCTCTCGAAAACTTGATTTAAATGATTTCTCACGGCTAGTGGAAAATGAGGTGGTGCACCATCGTGAATAAAATACATAATCTGCCTCTGTGCTATTGGAACTTCCTTCAAAAGTATTGGTAAATGGTTTACCAAAAAATGAAGGTAATTTTGTCCATTAAGCCTAAAAGAATATAATAATAATTAGGAATTGGTGACGTTTGAACAGTTTTAAAATTTACCTATTGGGTAGAAAGAATGGTCCAATAAGTCTATCTCTAAGAATTCCAGCCCAAACGTTTACTGAGAATCAAACTTGGTGTCGGCTTTCTATGACAGCATGAGGATTTTGATCGGACCAGTAATGGGTGTTGTGGTAATTAACAATCCCATTTTTGGTAAACCCTGCTTCATCAGTGCATAAAATGTTTGACAGAAAAAAGGGATCTTCTACCAGTTTTCTTAATAACCAACGACAGAAATTGGCACGAGCGGGATAGTCTGGAGGATTAAGGGCTTGTACCCTTTGGATGTGGTATGGATACAGCAGTTGAGTATGAAGAGTCATCCACACAGTATGGCGACTCACGTTTTCTCGCGCTGCAATTCTCCTTCCAGATAACCCTGGATCTTCCTCTACACTTCTTAAAATTCGCTCTTCAATTGCTGGTGTACGCACTGTAACATTACGGCCGCGATCATGGTGCCTGTTACTAAATGAACCTTCGTCTCTCAGGCGCTGATGGACTCTGGCAAATATCCTATGAGAGGGTAGATATTTTTGAATATACAAACGTTTAGCTAAAAGACCGTTTCCGTTCGCTCTTCCATAAATAAAATGCATTTCTCTCAGTTCAAGTACAGTGTATTCCATAATTTCTAGTATATTACGCTCACGTACACTTCAACAAAAAGAAACTGACAGAAATACTTAAAAACCAGAATAATTTTAGGCAAAATTATTTACAATTGCTTTTTGCTAAATTAAAATAAAAAAATTGTGATAAGGCCATGTACATAGCTATTGTTCTGTCCTAATTTGATTATTCCATTTACAAAAAATATTCATTGTCAGTGGCGTGCCCACAAATTTCTTCTGGGGTTTGGGTTGCCACTTACCTTCCGATTGTAAAGTTGAGAGAAAAAATTGACCCACAGACAAAAAATAATTTTTCATAATAAAATTTCTTCGACATTAGGTACTTGAAAATATTTTTTTTTTAGTGTTTATGAGTTTTTTGGGAGGTTGATTAGTTTAACACGTCACAATTTTCATAAATTTATGTTTATTAATCTGTGAGATACCCATCAAAAAATAAGTAATTTTACTTTTCGTTTTTCAACTACAGGTTTACCAAACTCTTTGCCTTCAATTTTCTCGAAAACGGATGCTTTAAGCGACTTGCAATAAGAGTAACTTTTTTATGGAAAAAAGGTAGTTGTTTTTAAAAAATAGACCCACGTTGTAAAATAATCAACCCCTAAAAAGTTAATCATAAATCGACCCCTTACCCTTGCAAGAACTACCCTTTGTGATTAAATAAGTAATTTTTCGATATTACCATTGGATTCAGCAGTAAATTTTATGTCAACAGGGATTTTTTTCGAAGTTTTATCGTGTTTTTTAAGCTTACAATTTCAAAAAAACCACTTTCCAAGTTTGCGCTTTTGACGCCCCTAAATCCCTTAATATGTATTTAACGACCCATAGTTATAGGAACTTTTTTTACTAGTTTTAGGAGTACACTATTTTAATGACACCCTGTAAAATTCTCTACAATTCTTGTCCCATACATAATTTCTCTAAAATGGACCGTATTCGAGATATTTGAGAAAATGTGCAAATTTTGAATTTTGAAGATAACACAAAAACGAATCAAGAGAAAAACACTGTGGTAACTTGATTAAATTTTGGACATTATCGGAAAATCTGGAAGGGGTACTTTACAAAATCGACTACGGTAGCGTCACGGCATTCATTTGCGAGCCAATTTTCTGGTAAAACAAGACACGGTTTCGAATCCTACGGAAGACCATGTGAATTTATTTGCATGGTTCTCTATAGGATTTGATGAATGCCGTATTAGCAGAAATTTAATTTCTGTTGATATGACATCCAGATTAATAAAAATCGCCATACGTTACCGTTTTCGATGATGGTTGGTGAAGTTTTCCGGGTTTTCCTCACCTGTAAGTTAAATGGGACCATTAATCATCTTTAAATCGCCCCGAAGCGTCACGGCAAATAATAATAATAGCCGTTCCCTTTCCCCGGACAAGCTCAACTTTTAGGGTTAAAATTGATTCGTAAGGGGGTGAATTAGGGAAAGTATTATTATATAGGTTGTCGTTTTATTTATTTTATTGAATATAACTGTTATTTACACTTGGAGAAGAAAATTCTTTAAATAGAACTTGTTTGTAATATATTCTGTTTGTTAAATGCATAATTTTCCTAAAATGGTCCATATTCGAGAAATTTTACAAAAAATACAAAATTTGAATTTTTAGTAAAATTGTTTAAATAAAATATCATTCTATATAATTTTTGTTTTATACATGATTTCTCTAAAATGGACTGTGATGGAAAAAACTGAGGAAAGTGTAAAAATCCCTTACACAATTACATAATTATGTTGCAAAACTATCTGTCCGAATTTTACGAACGAGTTGTCATTTAAGAGAGAATCGAACGCTCTTTCAAAGTAGGTACCACTCGACCCCTTGTTCCATTTAAAATAATAAGGTTGGCCTCACCCACCTAGAGGGTTATAGGAGGCAGTGCTAAAAATGGCATCAAGAAACCTCCCATTTGACAAATCCGATGACATGTACGAGATATTTTTTTTAATAAACATGGAATCGGATATTTCGTCTGTTTCATTTTAAATAGTAAACCCGTATATGAATGATTAAAAAAAAAGAGTATGAGAGTAGAAAAAGTTAAACATTCTATTCATAAATAAGACATGGACAGTTAAGCGCATTTGGCGTCCTGGGCCACAACTTAAGGACATTTGGTGCCCTGGGTACAATATTTTGCCGCATAGTTATATTGTAATCCTAGATATGGGGTGTTAAAGTCCTTAGCTTCTAGGGTCCTAAGCATCTGAACTGTGAGACTTATAACATAACTTTCTGAATCATTGTTTAGGGTCATCCAGGGCTGGTAACTCAAATGGAAAAACATGAGGAAGGTAATTTATTACCACTCTAATTAACCAGATAAAGTTGTCGGTTATCAGCTCGTCAAAATTTCAAACTTAGAAAAATTGAAATGGCTGTTGCAGTTGAAGGAGTATTGGATT